ATTGCTGATCAATGACATTACCTCCTTCCTTCCCTCCCTTCCTCTGTCCCCCCCCCCGCCCATCTTCCTTTTACAGACTAATAGTGAACATTAGCTAGCTCATACCCAGGATCATGGATTAGTTTGAGGGATTTGTTTAATTTAATGCCACCAGCATTCATCATTCAGCAAAGAAGGATGACACTACCCCTTGCCAGTATCCCTTTAGAAGAAAAGATTTCATATTTTTCAGACTTAAAAAAATCACCAAAAAAGTGCATTCATACCTCAGGCAGTTTTTTCCAGTTGTGTTCTATGGATCACACATCTGTTACTCAGCCCATCAAGCCAATATTGGACAATAACCAATGAGCACCTTGTCTGCTGAATGCTTAGCTTCAATTGTAGAAATCCTAGAACTTTAGAGCTGGGAGGTTCCTTACAAAATTTATTTACTAAACTCACTAAGGCCTTCCCAGTTTACAGATAAGTAAACTAAGGCCCAGAGAAGTCCTATATACCATACATTTCTATATTTGCCAAGTGTCTGAGGAATATCTTTCATACAGTGTGGTACTGTGGAAAGAACTTTGGCTTTGAAATCAGAAGACCTGTGTTCAAATCCTACCTCTGACAGTTTGTACTATTTGACCTTGGGCAAGTCACTGAACCTTCCTGGGCCTCAATTTTCTCATTTGTAAAATGAGACATTTTAAAAATATATGTAAATATAGGATCCCTTATATCTCTAGATCTACGGTCTTATCTACTATGATTGATCCTGCAATAAGCAGGCTTATCAGGAAAGCCCAGATTTAATGTGGGGTATTGGATCCTGTAAGTTTTTACTCTGAGGGTCAGTAGAGAGAACTTGCTGGCCTAAAGTGTCGCTGAAATATGCCTTGATAATTAGATTATTTTTTCCACTTATTCAGTAGAAGGAGGGAGAGGCAGCATGTAGAAAACTGTCTTCAAAGCCAGAAATACCTGCGTTCAAATACCACCTCTGACATACTGGCTGTGTGACCCTGGATGAGACCTTAACCTCTCAGTGCTTTTTGGTAACTCTATAAGATTTCTCTAAGTTTTAGAGAAGGTGCTGACCAGCACTGATAAGAGGGGATTTCATCATCCCAGTCTCTGAAAGCACAGGTCCATTTTCTTTCCCTATTCTCTCTCTTCTTTTTTTTTTTTCTTCAAAGAAGGCCTTTATTGTATTTTTTTCTCAATTGCATGTAAATTTTTTTAAAAATAATTTTTGAGTTTCAAATTCCCTCCCTTCCTTTCTCCCATCCCTCCCCACTCCTTGAGAAGGCATGGACTTTGATATAGATTATACATGTGCAGTCATGCAAAACATTTCTGTATTAGCCATGTTGCAAAAGAAAACAGACTAAAAAAACCCCCAAGAATAATAAAATAAGAAAAGTATGCTTCAATCAGCATTCAGACTCCATCAGTTCTTTCTCTCGAAGTCCTTCAGAATTGCCTTGGATCATTATATTGCTGAAAATAGTTAAGTCATTCACAGTTGTTCATCATATAATATTGCTGTTACTGGGTACAATGTCCTCCTGGTTCTGCTCACTTCACTTTATATCAGTTCATGTAACTCTTTACAATTTTTTTTTGAAAGCATTATGCTCATCATTTCTTACAGCACAGTCGTATTCCATTACATTCATATACCGCAACTTATTTAGCCATTACCCAGTTGATGGGCATCCCCTCAGTTTCCAATTCTTTGCCACCATAATTTGCTATTATCCCTATTCTTCACAGTAGAAATACAAGGTCATATTTCAGGACAATGAATATCTCTAATCTGTGTTGTGTAGAATCCAGTGCACATATTATCGTAGTGAGGAAAATGCACAGCTCCCCTTTTTGACATTGCATTGATACCTACCCGCATTTGTAAAGTGCCCTGAGATCACTTTATCAGAGATTTTGTAGAATAGGTATTCAGCATTTCTCTTCCCTTTTACCATCTGCCCTCATGTCACCTGATCTCCCTCATACCCAGGGCCTTTAGTATAATAGTCCTGCTGCTGGGTTACCTGAAGAAAAAAAAGAGATGGGTCATCCGAAAGATGGGGAAGATGCACAAGGGTTAAAGGGTTACCACTTCCCCAGGGAGCCGAGCTGTTGATGTTTACTGGTTGTTTTGTGCTGGCTGAACTGTGTTGTGATTATCTGTGCCCGATCCCCGGTGAGAATTTGTTCCAAGGACACTGCTGCCAGCTGCTGTTCTCCTCAGTAAGTAAGGGCATCCGAGTCCTTGTTTCCACTCTCCCTTTCTCTCTAGTTAGTAAAGTTCTGTTGTCAATTTAGGAAGCATTGAGATGAAGGCAAATGTTGAAGGGCGAAAGGGAAGCTTGGGGCATCTGGAATGGTTAGATAACACTGGAGCCTCACCACATTGGTGAGGGAGCATGGAATGCTGAGGTGATAATGTCATTCACTGGCATCTATGTTTATATCCTTCCTGGCTAGGATGATGGATTCTTGGATTTCTAAAGGCCTGGAACTATACTGCCTCTTGTGGAAGGTTGGGGAAATAGCCATTTCAGTGGCTCCTGAGTGTCAGTTCAGACTGCCAAGGGCTGCTGCATTACCACACATTCCCCCCAAACTCAACCCAGGAGTTCTTATCCATGAACAGGAAAATATATATATGTTTACTCTGCCTATGAAACAATGGCCTCTAACATCAGAGGACTTAGGTTCAAGTCTTGACCCTAACTTGCTACCCAAGATCACACAGATAATAATAATATAGTAAGTCATTGAGTTTCTTTAGGATTTATTATTAAGTGAGGAGCTGTTCCAGTTTGCCTCTGGGTTCCCCTCTAGCTCTCAATCTGTTATCCCATGATTTCAAAGTAGGCATGTATCAATTATATTTACACAGCTTATACCTGATGTCCAGAGAGGAAATTGCCCAATAATCTGTCTAGTCCTGGTCAGCTAGATGGCACAGTGGATAGAGTGCCAGGCCTGGAGTTAGGAAGCCTCATCTTCCCGAGTTTAAATCTGGTCTCAGATACTTAGTAGATTTGTAACTCATTTTGCCTCAGTTTCCTCATCTGTAAAATGAACTAGAGAAGGAAATGGCAAGCCACTCTAGTATGTTTGCCAAGAAACCCCAAGTGGGATCACGACGAGTCGGCATGACTGAAACTACAATGACAACAACAGCAACAGTGGCCAGTCCTTCTATGATGGAAGTTCTATTACATGCATGTGACATGCGTGTCGGTGATCCATCATTCTCACTGTCTCTTATCTTCAGTCTCTCCTTATGTACTGGCTCCTTTCTTGGATGCCTACAACCACGTCAGCGTCTTCCCCATACGTTAAAAAAAAAAACCCAAAAAACAAGCCCTTACTTGATCCTAACATACAGCTAGAAAACATCCAGCACTTCTCTTTTGTCAAACTCCTTGAGAAAGCCGTCTACACTGGGTGACTCTACTCATCTACTTCTAAAACCTCTGCAGTCTGGCTTCCAGCCTCATTATTCAACTGAAACTGCTCTCTTCAAACTTAGTAATGTCTTGTTGCTGAATCAAATGACTTTTTTTCTCAAACCTCATCCTTCTTTTCTGTTGGCGAGGCAATTGGGGTTAAGTGACTTGCCCAGGGTGACACAGCTAATGAGTGTTATGTGTCTGAGGCCAGATTTGAACTTGGGTCTTCCTGATTCCAGGGCTGGTGCTCTATCCACTTCGTCATCTACCTGCCCCCAACCTCATCCTTCTTGACCCACTGGACGTTGGTATTCTCCTTTTTGTCCTTGATACTCTTCTCGCTAAGTTTTTGTGAATCTTCTCCTTTGCTGTTGTTCAGTCATTATAGTCACATCCAACTCTTCTTGACCCCCATTTGAGGTTTTCTTGGCAAAGATATTGTTTGCCATTTCCTTCTTTGGCTCATTTTACAGATGAAGAAACTGAGCAAATAGGGTTAAGTGACTTGTCCAGGGTCATACCGCTAGTAGGTGTCTGAGGCCAGATTTGAGCTTAGGAAGGGGAGTCTTCGTTATGCCACACCTTGCCCTCTAAACATTATGACACCTAGCTCCCCTTGGTATTTGGTTCAGAGAAATCTGGAAGAGCCAAAAGGAGTGGGGTAGATATGAGAACCAGTCTAGTTGTGTCCTTTAGAGCAGGGTATAATACCTGGGAAACAAATGGTTGCTGGTGTTTTATGTGAGTTCGAGAAGAAAGTGAGCAGTCATACTCCTTGCCCTTCCTATTTGTTATGGAGAATAGATACTTGATTATAGAAGGAACTTCAGCAGCTTTCCTATGGGAACTGAAAAACCTGTGAGATCATGGAAGCCTCCCCAGGCAAAACTGAGAAGGATGGGCTAGTCTTTCACTTCTTCCCACCGACCGCTATTCTTTTTCACTCTTGCCCAGGTGTTTAGGGGCTCGGCTCAGGCCAGTCTCTCACTGCTCTCCCCACCACGTTCTACTGCTACCCCATTCTAGACTTATCTCTTTACCCTGCCTCAGCAAAACTTACTGTAGTTTTGTGATCTAATTTGTGGGCCTATTCTCAGCAAGTTTTTAAGAAGGAACTGATATAATAAACTAATAGTGAAGTGTTACTAAATATTCCTGGAGATGGGCATCTTAAACACCAAATTATGCTACTGTTTATAACCCAAGGGAGAGCTCTGTAATGGTGAATTTTAGGGCCCAAACTGTGTAGGGTAACTCATTATTTTTCAATATAATTCAACAAATGTGTCAAGTACTGTGGTAGGTATTACCTTAAAAAGAATGTATGAGATCTTTATTGTAGAGAGGAAGGGAAAGCCACTTAGATAAAACTGAGCTGATAGGTCTCATTTTCCCCTTGACCAAAGGATCCACTTGGCCGCTCTGGTCTTGGGAGTAAGGCCTCTTACTTGATGGAAGGAGTCAACAGCTAAGCAGAGACACTGAGATAACAGTATGAGACTAATGAGTCTGGGGATACTGATCACTCTTCTTCTTTCTCTTTCTTAGACATTCACAGCGTGGTGCAATTCACACCTCCGAAAGGCGGGCACACAGATTGAGAACATAGAGGAGGATTTCCGGGATGGCCTGAAGCTCATGTTGCTACTGGAGGTCATTTCAGGTGAGGCTGGAATCAAGAGATGAGTTTGGGAAACACTAAGCAGGCATAGTCTGAGGTGTAAGATTGAACAAGGGCAGGTAACAGGTTCCACCTTGACTCACTTTAGTAAAGTTGCTTTCTGTATCCATTTTGGAAAAATGAGCCCAGGTTTAGAAATAGCCCAAAACTGTGGCCCGCCATGCGTTTGTCTTTGGAGGCAGTATGATATAGAGGAGAAGTTCTTAACCTGGGGTCCATGAGCTTCTCTTTTAAAAATATTTTAATAACTATGTTTCAGCATAATTAGTTTCTTTTATAATACTATGTATTTTATTTCATACGTTTTAAAACATTGTTCTGACAAAAATGTGCATACCCTTTGATCCAGCAATAGCACTTCTAGGGCTATATCCCAAAGAGATCAAACAAATGGGAAAAGGACCCACATGTACAAAAATATGCATAGCAGCTCTTTTTGGTGGCAAAGAATTGGAAATTGAGAGGATGCCCATCCATTGGGGAATGGCTGAGCAAGTTGTGGTATATGAATGTAATGGAATACTATTGTGCTATAAGAAATGATGAGCAGGCTGACTTTAGAAAATCCTGAAAAGACTTGCATGGTCTGATGCTGAGTGAAGTGAGCAGAACCAAGAGGACTTTGTACACAATAACAGCCACGTTATGCAATGACTAAGAATGTTAAACTGAACCCTTCTCAGCATTACAAGGATCTAAGACATCTCCAGAGGACTTGGGATGGAAAATGCTGTCCACATCCAAAGAAAGAACTATGGAAGTCACATCGCTATCACTTATTTTTACCTTCTGTTGAGTTTTGTTTCCTCTTTCTGATGGTTCCTCCTATTGGTTTTAATTTTTACTTACAACTTCACTAATGTGAAAATATGTTTAATAGGAATGTAAATGTAAAGCCTATATCAGATTGTGCGCCACCTTGGGGAGCGTGGAGGGGGTAAGGGGGAGAAAAATTTTCAACTCAAAAGCATATGGAAGTGATTGTTGATAAATCAAAATAAATTAATAAAATTAAAAAACAAAAACAAAAAAGAAAACATTGTTCTGAGAAGAGGTTCATAGATTTTGCCAGACTGCCAAAAGAATCCGTGATACAAAAAACTTTTTAAGAACCTCTGATGAAGAGGAAAGAATATTGAGCTAAGAGTAGGAAGTTCCTGGCACTGCCTAACTGGCCGTGAAATATTGGGAAAAGTCCCTTAGCTTCCCTGGGCCTTAGTTTCTTCATCTGTAAGAAAATGAGGGAGTTGGACTAGATGAGTTCTAAAATACCATCTAGAGCTTGTGTCTCATTTTTCCTCGTCGTGAATATAATGTAGGCGGATATTGCCTGAAAACTCCAGTCTGGGAGGTCCACTGTGTGGCTCTGCTTCACAAAGCAGAGGCTCTAGAGCCCTCATTTGCCTGCCCCCTAGGCAGAGTTGGTTCTTTCCCCTCAGGAGGGTAGAGGGGGCAAAGCAGTCTCTTTCATATTAATTTTTAGATTGGAATCTCAGAATTGGGGAACTTTGGAGCATGGAGGTCAGGGAGAGAAAATGTAGGGGAGGAAAGAAGGCTGTCTGGATGCTATTGCTGTGCAGAGTGAGATAGGAAGAATCCACTGTCCCAACTGGCCCCCCCCTTTTACTCAGGCCTTCACAGTCTGGCCACTGCCTGTAGCTCACCACAAATGGTATAGGGGAGTCAGGGACTTAGCTGACATAGGAGTCATCATCTGAGGAGGGAGAAAGTTCCTGTTGTACCATGCTGTCTGTGTGCCTCTGGAGAGTCTCTTTATTAATTGGTAGAAGGTAGGATTAATGAATTATAGGTTACCAAGTTTTTCCATAGCCTGAGAGGACAGAAACTCTGGAGACCTCTATAAATGGAAAGTATTGATTTAATATTAAAACAAATCACGCCTCCGTGATTGGTTCTGAAAGAGCCCCACTGTATCAGAGGAAGGAAATCTGTTCACCACCTGTAGCCTACGAGGCTTGGGTCTATGTAAGGGGCCCTTGAGGAGATCACCCCTGCAGAAAGGCTTAGGGAAGGGCAGTCTCACCAAGAGGATTGGGAGTTGCACTGAGCTGTGTCTTTCCCTTTTCCCGTTCGGACCCTCAGGAAGTAGGATTAGGTATTAAAGTGGTGGTGAATCAGTCTTCGGTTGTGGTAGAAGAATGTGTCTTTGTTAGCAATGGTGGTGGGATGGGTTGAGGAGAAGCATGGCATTGAGCAGTGGTATGCTGCCCAGAGGGGGCTGGTTTGAAGTCTCTGGGAGAAAGGTTTGAATCCTAGGATTGGCATCGTGGCTTCTCTTTCTGGTCACAAAACCTGTGCAAGAGTTTTTAAATGGAGTGTTAGAGTCAGAAGGAGGGAGGGCAGGGCTCAGAGAGAGGCAAACCTCCCAGCTCAGTGAACTGGTTCCCTTCCATGTAAGTGGCTTTTATGTTTACTTCCTGCTAAAAAGCCAGGGGCCCCTTTCCCTGTTGCATTAGAACTGTGAGTCTATTTCAGTCTCCTTTTTGCCAAGTTTTATTGGTACCTGTTTTTTATACCATGGTTTCCCCCTTAAATTCTGCTTTCTCTCTTACTACCTCTTCTCCCCACCTGCCACTGAGCTATTCCATGTAGCCCCCCCAAAAAAAATTGAAAAAAAGGAAAGGGAAAAGAAATTTAAGCAAAGCCAAGCAACATAGCTACCCAGTTTGACAGCCTAGACTTCTACCTCTCTTTCCTGATAGAAGAAAAGTGAGTTTCATTTTAACCTCTCTAATACCAAAAGTTATTAGGCAGCTAGGAGGTGAAGCGGATAGAGTGCTGAGCCTGAAGTCAGGAAGATCATCTTCCTAAGTTCAAATCCATCTTCAGACACTTAGTAGCTGTATGACCCCGAGCAAGTCACTTAAACCCTGTTTGCCTCAGCTTCCTCATCCGTAAAATGAGCTGGAGAAGGAAATGGCAAAGCCACTCCAGTATCTTGCCAAGAAAACCCCAAATTGGATCACAACGAGTCAAACATGGCTTGAATGACTTAACAAAAATTATTACAGCTGAGCAAAACAAATGAATGCATTGGCCATGTCTGATAAAGTATGCTTATTCTGCACTCCAAGCCCCTCATCTCTGCTGAGAGCAGGGAAGCGTGCTTCACTCATAATTCCCTGAAGCTCTGATGGATCAGATTGCTTATGTCTTGTATTTTTCTTTACATTATGATGGTCATTGTGCCTTGTCTCCTGATTCTGTTCACTTTGCTATGAATTAGGCCATACTGGTTCCTCTGAGAATTTGTTAAGCTATTGCACAATTTATGGGCACCACTCCAGAAAAAAAAAATTAAAAATGCCTTTAGTCCATTGTAGAAGAATCTATATTGCCCACTGTAGCACAGGCAGAAGTCTCTGGTGGCAACAATAATGATTCTTTTCCCCAGTGTTTTAGTGTTTACCAAGTTTCCCCATGGGAACTGTGAGGTGAGGTGGTTGATGTAGGTAGTATCCTCATATTACAGGAGAAAAAAAGGAAGCCCAAAAGGTAAAATAACTTCCCCTAGCTTATACAGCAAACTATACAGGAACCAAAACTTGTGCTGTGGTCTTCTGACTGTAAAACCAGTCCTCTTCTCAGTGCACCAAATGCAAGGCTCTGATTATATGGGAGGCTCAGGGACTGAACGGGTGGTGGTGGGCTTTGGGGGAGATAGGTGCAGGCCTAAAGCTGCCTCAGTGTCTTGATGTGTGACCTTGGACCCTGCACTTCACTCCATGATGTAAACTGGGCTAGACTGATGCAAACAACCCTCCCCCCCCCCATCTTGGAAGAAGGAAGCAAGGATTACAGATTCTCTCTTCTTCTCCCTTTATACCTGCACTGGTGTTTCTGCTCACTGAAGGGACAGATACATTTATTTCTTGCTATGCTTCTGTGAATGTCCTGATGCAGGAGCCTTCAGTCACCTGGGGTGTGTGTGTGTGTGTGTGTGTGTGTGTGTGTGTGTGTGTTTGGGGTGGGGGTGGGGGTAGCAGAGGGTAGTGACATATTCTCCCCTTATTTGAATATTTTCTTTTTCTTTTCTTTTTTTTGTTCTCTCAATCAGGTGAACGTTTGGCCAAGCCAGAGCGAGGCAAGATGAGGGTGCACAAAATCTCCAACGTGAATAAGGCCCTGGACTTCATTGCTAGCAAAGGGGTCAAACTGGTGTCCATTGGAGCAGAAGGTAAAAACCTGCTTCCCTAGGTGGTGGAATCTAGTGAGACAAAAGCTGATGCTTATGTTTCCCCAGTTTCATTTCACTTGCAGATTCAGTGACCACACACCAAGGCATCGGGGGAGAACACTAGTGTTACAGGCCTCAAGGCCGTTCATTTCCACATCTGTTTCCTCATATCATATCACTGTCATTTCAGAGGCAGCTGAGTGGCACAGTGGATAGAGTGCCAGGAAGACCTGAGTTCAAATGTAGCGTCATGCACTTTGTAGGACAAGTCACTTAACCCCTGTCGGCCTCACCTTGTTCATCTGTAAAATGGAGAATATAAAACATTTTTTATAAACTATTAAAATATTAGATATTACATATAAGATAGCACCTACCTCTCAGGGCTGTGAAGGTCCAATGAGATAATAATTGTAAAGACTTAGCAGAGCCTTTAAAGCGACATAAATGTTCGTCGTTGTTGTCATTGATTTCCTAGGACCAGGATCCGTAACAGAACCCTCCTTTGTAACAAGGAAATAAGCCAATCAGATACACATTGACCACATTTAACCAGTTTTGCCTCATTATGTACTTATAGGATACTGCTTCTCTGCAAAGTGGAGGTTGCCTACATAGCTCATTGTTAGGTCTCTGAGGTCAAGATAGGTCATTGCATTAACCATTGTTCTGATGTCTTTTAGGTTTTGTTTTTTAGAGCACTATGGTTATTGACTCGGTAATTCTAGTTCTGCTAATTACACTCTCAGCCAATTCATACCAGCCTTTCCAAGTTCTTCTGAGTTTTTCATATTTGTCATTTTTCTTATGGCTCAGTAAAATTATGTTATACTGATTTACCACAGATTGTTTAGCCTTTCCTCCATTGACAGGTATAGTCACGAGAGCCCATTTTCTCAGACTTTTCTTTATACTTTCAGAAAGAACCCATTTCTGAAGCCATTTAGCTGGAAGCCTATAGGGGGCTGGCTGATTAAGGCTGTACCACTGACAAATGAGCATTCCATCTGGAAGTAGACTCTGATGGGGAAGTGGGAAGGGTAAGAAAGCTGTTAGCAGAAAATAGGGAGCAGGGAGGGATTTTGTCTGTGTGAATCCTGAGAGAGTCTTTCATGTTGTCTCTGGGCAGGCTGCTTACTGCTCAGGAACGTCTAATAACCAGCATACATGAGGACTTTGGAGAGGCAAGAAGGTGTAATAAGCCCACACATATTCCAATGCATGTGAAGAATCCTCTCCTCTTTTTTTTTTTAAACTTCCTGGCTTTCTACTTCTTGGATCCAGCCCAGCCTGTTACCAGAAGGGAAAGGCTTATTTTCCTAGCAGTTACAAGGGCTGTGAGGCATCTCCTGAGGAAGCCAGCTTTTATATAATTCAAATTCATTAGTGCTTTAAAGTTCACAAAGTACTTTCCTTAGCACAAGGAGAAGAAGGTGGTGTAAGTATTAGGATTCCCGTTTTACATATGAAGATACTGAAGCTGTGGAGGTCAAGTGACTTCCCCAAGGTCACACAACACATACATATCGGATGGAGCCAGGTTTCCTCACCCCAAGTCCAGTGCCCTTTTCACTGTACCATGCTGCTTTTCAGTAAGGGGAAGTCCACATACTCAATGAGGATTTTTTAGCGACTGTCCTTTATAATAGGGATCGCTTGAAAAGAATGGGAATTGAGGCTGAGTGGAAAGATTGTTCTGTGTAAAAGGAGCTAGAGAGACTGTGAGAGGATGCCAAATTCCTTCCACAAATATTAAGCATCTGTTACCTTGTAGATAGAGCGTTACCTTCAAGCCACAGTACTAAGTGCTGGGGATACAAAATGTCCTTGCCCTGAAGGATCTTGTATTCTTTGGGGAAAGCAGATTTTTTTTTATATGCAGACAAGTCAGCACAAAATAATTCCAGGGCACTGACCCCTAGGGTAATCAGAAAAGGCCTTCCTGGGAGCTGGCACCTGAGCTGATCTTTGAAGGAAATTAGAGATTCTAAGGGGGGAGGGGTTGTTTCATTTCAGGCCTGGGGGACAGCCTCTGCAAAGACACAAGGCAAAGATGGCGAGTCATGTATATGGAACAGCAGGTAACTGAGTTTGGCTGGAACATTGAGTGGGTGGGCGAGTGGGTAGGAGAGCATTGAAACCAGTTTGAAAGGATATGTTTGAACCAGATTGTGAAAGGCTTTACATGCCAAGTGGAGGAGTTTGAATTTAAGTTATCCTGGAGTCCATAGGGAACCATTGAAACTTCTTGAGCAGGGGAACGACGGGGTCAGACTTACGTGGGCATGAGCTAGATTACAGGACCTGAGTCTGAAGAAGCCTTCAAGTCCAGCCTATACCTCAAGGAGAGGGATCTGCAGCACAGCAATTTCTTAGCTTTGCTTTAAGACCTCCGACAAGAGGGAACTTGGTATTTTTGCACGGTTCCATTGCACTTTTGCATAGTTCTGCCATCAAGCCTTGCACCCAGTACTCCTATCCTGCCCTCAGGCACAAATATTACTCTTCTTGCATGTGATAGCTATTTGGATACTTGTAGGCAGCTATTTTGTTTGCTCCTAAACCTTCTCTTCCCAGACCAAGAAAAACAAGAAAAGGTGGGATGCTAACACCATGAGCTTGGGACTAAATAAGATCTAAGAGCTAGAAGATTTATTCAAGCATCAGTCAGGATTCCTCCCTGCCTGATTGCCCTCCCTTCTGGCTGATCTCATTTCTTGTGCCCACCCTGGTTTTCTTTATTCTGATAAGTTGTTTCAGTTTTATTAACTAATGTGGATCATCCATACCTCAGTTGATGGAGTTTTGGAGTTGTGATAGCCTGAAAAATGCACTTCCTGCTAGATTATTCTTTTCTTTATTTAGCCATGCTGGTCCTTGAACAGCAGGTGCACCTCATCTGACAAGTACTGGAATGTTTTCTAGATTGGCATGGGTGTGGGCTCAGTTGGCACAAGGCCGTCTCCGTGGCACAATGAAGTAAATGCAGGAGGTTTTTAGTGAAGGATATTATTCAGTTCTTCTTGTTCTCATTGATGAGAACTCCCTTCATAGTTGCACAGTGCTTACAGCGGGCTGCACCTGGAGTCAGGAAGACCCAAGTTCAAATTTGGCCACAGACACTTATTAACTGTGTGACCCTGGGCTTGTCACTCAACCTCTGTTGGCCTCAGTTTCCTCTCAACTGTAAAATAGGGATAGTAATAGTATCTACCCTGCAGTGTTGTTGTAAGGATCAAATGAGAAAATATAAAGAGTGCTTAGCACAGTGCCTGGCACATGGTGGATGCTGTTATCAAGCTCATTCCCTTCCCTCCTTCATGTCTTCTTACCTTGTGCTATTCAACACATGTTCTTTCATATTTGTTAGATGCCTCCTATGTGCCAGGCACTCATTGTGTCGAGCAGTCTTGGAAACATTAGGTCTTTTTACACTGCTTAGGTAGCAATGGCATCTTCATTCTTCTGATGGTCCATCTGTCACCCTTCACTTTCATCATGACTGGCCCAATAACAGTAGTCCTTATAATTGCATGATATTTTGTGCTTTCAGAGTATTTTCATGTACTTCACCTTTATTCTCACCAAAACCCATTGAGTTATGATGTAGAATATAATCTCCTTGAGGACAGGTACTGTTTGGCATTTTGTCTTTAAATGCTCATACTGGGCTCTTAATAAATGTTGAATTAGGCCAGACTGACCTTGGTCTCCTTTGATAAATGAGATTTGTCGATTAGAAAGGGCAGTGAATTGCCAATGTTTACACAGCAGAACCAGGACTGAAACTCAAATCTTTGGACTCTAGAGGATTGTTGTTACCTTTGCTCCAAAATTGGAAGTTGCCAAATTTCTTTCTCTCTGCCTTTCTCTCAAAGCAATTAATCTTTATTGTCTCCTGCTGTCTGCGTCTTGGCCAGTCAGTTAACCTGTGTCTTGAGTACTTACTTTATGGTTAGCACAATGCTAACATTTAGAGGTATAAGACATGGGTCCTACCCTCAAGGAACTTAGTCTAGTTGGGCAATATTATATGGAAATATACTATATGGAGTAATTATATGGATACCAAAGTCTGGTTTAACTCTTCAAGTGTAGTAGTGGTTCAGAGGTAAGGGGGAGATCAATGAGGTCTAGAAGTAGTCAGACTTAGAAAGGAAGAGGTAAGATGGTGAGCTCAATTTTAAAGGATAGGTAAAATGTGAAGATTTGATGCCCCAATCATTCTTCCTCCTTTATAATTAAATGTGGCTGGTCTTTTGGAGTGTTGGGGAATCATTGAATGGTGTTGAATTAAACACAATTATATGTAGTTTTGTATTTTCTGAGATAAGTCTGAAAACTGGAATCTACCATCCCTAGAAGCAAAGGGATAGACAGCCAGTTTGGGACCATATAAGGGCGGGTTAGTCAATGAGATGAGACTGTGGGTCGGCGTATCATACGGAGCTACTAATTCAAGGTATCTCACTGCTCACCACCTTACACAGCTCTATACTTTCCACTGGAAAATTTTCTCTAACTATAGTGAGAAATTCCACAGATGCTGTTGGAGCCAGTAATCTCTTGAGATATTTTTGGGGGGGCCTTTTTTTTTAATTGCTTAGGTGATGAAAGAGTGTGTCCAGTTGTCTTCTGTGCAAGGCTGAGCTTCTCTAGTAGGGGCTGTGTATGTAGTGAGGAGTGATAAAGAAGTCAGCACAGTGGGTCTGGTAACTTGGCCTTTGGGAAAATGCCTGGTACCATCCTTGAGACAGCATTCAATTCCGTCTCTTTTAATGAAGAGGGTGTTGGCTTTCAGGCTGTAGTTGTCTTGGGAAATCCATCTTTGCTTGAGATATGTTTAGTGTGGGGTAGAATATTCCTTTCCCTACACTTGCTTCTTTCTGCCTCCTTTCCTTAGCAGTGGAGTAGTTGAAAAGTCAGTCAGCCACAAACCTTTATTAAGTACTTAACTGTATTCCAGATACTGTATAGCACTTACATGCTGGCGATAAAAATAAAGACAAAAATAAGCTCCTGCCCTCAGGAGGCATATATTCTGATGAGGGAGATAACATGTAAATAACTTGGTACATAGAAGATATACATAGAATAGATGGAAGTTAATATGAGCAGCTGTGGGAACTGGGAAAGGGTTTCTGCTGAAGGTAGGAATTGACTGGAATCTTGAAGGAAACCAGAAGGGCTGAGAGGTGGAGGTGAGGGGGCTGGGTATTCCAGGCATGGGGGGACCATCCTTGCAAAAGCGTGGAGATGAGCTGGAGTATTTGGGAAACTGCACTGGCTTTAGAGTAAGAGGTTGCTCAGTCATTTTCAGTACTGTCTGACTCTTGGTGACCCCATTTGGGATTTTTTCTTGGCAAAGATACTACAGTAGTTTGCCATTTCCTTCTCCAGCTCATTTTACAATGAGGAGCTGAGACAAACAGGGTTAAGTGACTTGCCCATGGTCACACAGCTAGTAAGTGTCTGAGGCCAGATTTGAACTCAGAAAGAGGAATCCTTCTGACTCCAAGCCCAGCACTCTATCCACTGCATCACCTAGCTGCACTGACCTAGAGTAAGAGGACTTGGGTTCAAATCCCACCTGACACTAACTACCTATGTAACCTTGGAATTGTCACATAACCTCTCTTGGCCTTTGTTTTCTCATCAAAATTAAAAACACTTGGTCTAGATTTTCTTTAGGTCCCTTCCAGCTCCAAATATATGCTCTTGTGCCTCTAATAATCACACTGGAAGGATTAAAAGGATGGAGAAAATAGAAATATAGCCTCTAGGTTAGAGGGCTGTGGCTGACCCTGGAGTGCAAATGGGCAGGAGGCCCTTGTCTTCTTTCCCCCCAGGCTAGAGGATGTTGGTTAGTGAAGGGGCAGGAAGGCTTAGCAGATCTGCATGGCTGGTTTACTGAGAACACTGTTTGGTTTCACTTGACAGCCCAGGTAATGATACTCAGACTTTTAGTAGAACAGCATTGTGCTGACCATCGTGGACAGAATGAAGGGAGGCATTGTGGGGCAATGGAATAGAGTTAAAAAAAAACGAGCCCCGCCACATGCAAGCTGCATGATCTGAAGCAAGTCATGTCTCAGCCTTTGCTTTCCCCTCTACTGGGAGCAGGTTGGCATCGTGTTCTGACATTCTAACTTTCTGTGATCCTCTGTTTTTCTTGCTGCTTAGCATTTTGCATTTGTCTATGTATGTTCCTCAGCAATTTTAAAAGCAATTGACTGCTTTTGTACACCCCTGTGAATATTGCCCCTTCCTCCCCCCCCCTCCACTTCAGCAAGGAAAGGGGGAGTTACCTTATCATCTCTCTTCTTTGGGGCGAAACTTGTTCTTTGTAATTTTTCAACATTCATTTTCACTTGTTCAGTGGATATTTTTTTCCATTGGCATTGGTGGAGTCATTGTGGGTATTGTTTTCATGGCCCTAGTTTCATTTTGCATGAATTCACAGGTCTTCCGTGCTCTCCCGTGTGTTCATGAGGTTCCATTTCTTATTGCATATTAATAGTTTGTTACATTGATGGACCACAATTTTTAGTGTTGAATGTCTTAACCTTCAACGAACTTCCTTCTTCTGATCTGCAAAATGGGGATAGTGGTGGTTACAAAGGACACTTTCTGTGAATCATAAAGTATTCTATAAAAAGATACTTGTGTGGACCATAGCAAGGACAAGGCTAGTGGTTTCCCCCTTCTTTATATAGTATCCATTTCAGGGTGAGCCCGTAGGAAACACTGCCCTCTGCCGTTAGCAGCCTTAAGTAGATGATTTCTGCATCCCTTCCCATACTTCATTTATTAGGGAGGGATACTGCCTGGCTAGGTTTATGAGCAACCTTTGACCCCTGTGAACTGCAGCCTAGCCAGTGGGCAGGAAGGAAGCAGAGATTAGATTCTTGGTGGAAATCTTTGCAACCTCAGATTTTTTGACATATGTGATCCTCCTGCCTCTGCTGTAGGCCCGACTCCTGGCAAAGTGTGGACAAGGTGAAATCTTTAGCCTGCTCCTATAAAAGACAATATGGAAAGAATACTTGGAAAGCATGACTAGCTGTGGCAAAGCACTTAACCTTACTGGGCCTTCGTTGCTGTAGCTGTAAAATGAAGGGTTTAAATCAGATGGTCTCATCCCTTCCAGCATCAAAATTACAGTAAGTTTTAAGGCTGTATCCCAGGCATGGCTTTGCACTGGTGCGTGCGAAGTTAAGGCCCAGCCTTGGAATTTTAAGTGTGGAATTTAAGTGACTCTCATGCTCATCTATGGAGGATGGGGTCCATTCATCAATAAGTATTTATTAATTATCTAACGAATGCCAGATGCTGGAGGCAAAAAGACCAAAGTGAAACAATCCTTGTCCTCAACAAATTTACATTTTATTGGAGGAAAAAATTTGTACATCTATAAATACAAGGTCATTTCAAGAGAGAGATAGGGAGTAGCTGGGGCAAATCCAGCAAGACCTCGTGGAGAAGGTGAAGCTTCGTATGAGCTTTAAAGAAAAGTAGAGATTCTAAAAAAAAAGTTGAAGGGAGGAAGGAATGTAAACTAGACACAGAAGTGGAAAAAAAAAGGACTCGGAGCATCTCCCAGATCACTTCAGGCCATCAGCCCCATCTCTTGGTGTTTGTGTTATCAAGGGCCCTCTATCAGCACCTTTTTGGGGGAAATGTCCTTCTCAGCCTTTACTCTTCCCTTTTTTCCCTCCTTCCCTGTTCTTCTTACCACATGATCTGAGCAGAGGCCTAGCTTTGAAGGCAAAAAGGGAAAGAGAATAAGCATTTATATAGCACCTGCTATGTTCCAGGCACTGTGCTAAGTGCATTTTACAAATATTATCTCATTTGAGTTTCACAACAATCCTATAAGCCTGATGCTGTTATTATCACCGTTTTACAGATGAGCAAGCAGAGGCACTCAAAGGTTAAATGACTTGCCTATAGTTACGCATCCAGTAAGTGTCTGAGGCCGGATTTGAACTTGGGTCTTCCTGACCCCCGGCCTGGAAACTCTATCCACGGCACCACCTAGTTGCTTCAGTGGAGGTAGCAGCAACTCTGCCATGCTTGTATCCTGGCTTCTTTGGCATCTGTCTTTGTGTAGTGGAAAAACACAGGTTTTGGAATCAGAGAACTTGGGTTCAAATCCTGACTCTGACGTGACTCCCTGTCGTCTACTTGGACTACCCGTGGTGACCTTGGACAAGTCCATTTGAGTGCCTCTCTGTGCCTTAGGGGTTGGGATGGGCCAGATGACCTCTGAGGTCACTTCTAGCTCTAAATCCATGCTCCCAGATTAGGAATTATCCTGCCAAAGAACAGTATATGTGACTTGTGGGAATAAGATGGAATCATTTAGATTAATTTCCTGGTACTGTTGTATCTCTCCAACCTAGTCCCCAGAACCCTTAGCAAACCCAGAACCCACATGTCAAAGTATAGCTGAGTGTAGGGAGTGTCCTGGTTTTCTAGCCCTGATTCCTGGGGTCAGATATTCCTAACACAAAACACTTGTAGTCTCTAGTCAGTTTCACTTGTTTGTTTACTTGTCTGAGACCAGGAGGTATCCAGTCTAATATTTGTCTGCTCTTCTTTCTGCAGAAATTGTGGATGGGAATGTGAAAATGACCCTAGGGATGATTTGGACCATCATCCTTCGCTTTGCTATTCAGGATATCTCAGTGGAAGGTATGGCTGGGGTTCATCCCCCCCGCTCTTCTCACATTTGCCCCAAATGTTGACCTTTTCCACCTCTCTCTTCATCTTCTATGCATACATCCTGGGGAGCTTTCCCAGATAGTACCTGGGCACACTGAGATGTATGATGATAACCTGGATCTTTTCACTTTTACTCACTATTTGTGTTATGCTGAAGGTTCATTCTGGATAAATGATACTATTTAGGGAAGGGGAATGGGGAGGTTAACCCCTTTCCATACCACATCTGGTTATGTTCATGGTAGTTGTTACAGAGTAGAAAAAAGAGATGCATGACTGGTAGTGATATAGTGGTATTGACCGGACCCACTAGGCTTTAAGTTCTATTGATACTATGTCTGTACAGTAGGAAAGTACTCCACGTACTGCTCTTAACAACATTCCCCATCCACTCCACCCCCACTCTCCATATGGGTAAGTCAGCCCCATGACCCTTTCGGATTGGTGGGGCTGATTTGAGGTAGGGGAGATACAAGACAATATTCAAGGTAATGGGGTCCCCTCTCAAACCTCTCCTAAAAGTCTTAGTGCCTTGTTATAGGTGAAGAGGTGGGAATCCCATTTCAGAGAGAAGGGGATTGTGGTGGAATCAAAGGTGGGAGATGGCTCCACTAGCCATCGTAATGGGGGGCGACATGTTACTGTCCGCAGTGACCCTTGTATATGCGTATCTATTCACTAGCACCAACTCACTTGCCCCTTTCTCCCATTTTGTCCACTTCACAGAGACATCAGCAAAGGAAGGGCTGCTGCTATGGTGTCAGAGGAAGACGGCTCCATATAAAAATGTAAACATTCAGAACTTCCACATCAGGTATGTGACATACATGTTACATGAATGTCCTCACAATCCTAACTAGGCTGTTTTGACCAAGGTGCTGTTGAATTCTCCCCCCACCCCAGCTACATTGGGCTAGTCTAAGCAGAGATTCTTTGGGGGTATGTACGGAGTATTGAAAAGGCTTCTATTTTCAAAAATAAATGGATATTAACTTTTAAAATAACACCTGCATTTCCTAATATAGCCCTTCCCACTTCTTTCCCAAAACCTATCTCTTGTAACAAAGAGGAAAAAAGGAGAAAAAAAACCCCAGATCAGTAAAATTAGCTAGCATATTGGAAAAAGGCTGAGGTTATATACACTATTCCACAACCATAATCTTTTACTTCTGCAAGGAAGGAAGTGGAAAGTACTGAACATATATTCTTAGAAAGACTATCTGTTGGGAAGATTGTTATATTTCTTTGCTATCTCCTTTAGTGTTTAGCACATGTTCATTACACTTTTTTTTGTTTTATCTATCTATCTATCTATCTATCTATCTATCTATCTATCTATCTAGCTAGCTAGCTAGCTAGCTAGGCAATGGGGTTAAGTGACTTGCCCAGGGTCACACAGCTAGTAAGTGTTATGTGTCTGAGGCCGGATTTGAACTCAGGTCCTTCTGAATTCAGGGCCGGTGCTCTATCCACTGCGCCACCTAGCTGCCCCCATTACACATTTTTTGAGATGGATGATAATCTTGGCCTAGACCCCCTGGAACAGTGTATTTACATAGCATAGCAGAAGGGGGTTGGAGCAGGGAGATATAATACAATTCAATTCAACTTATCACATACAGAGAGCTCTTAGTATCTGCAAAGAGATGGTGTTGGGAAGAGTAGGCAATTTGTACTCTTGGTTTCCTGGACATCAGGTTATTAAAAATTGGAGATGGGGTTGGATTGGGAAATGGTAGTCCTCTTCCCTCTTCTGTTTCTCAGTCTTTGACTTGCCCCTCACCCATCTTGAAAATAAGGGACGCTCATATGATGACTTACACATGGTCAGTGTGGATGCCATATAGACCACTCAGCTATAAATAAAGAATTATAATGAGGATGGTCTTAGAGGGATTAACTGAAAAAAAATTATCTTTTATGCATTAAAAGTTATTAATTTACATGTAAATAGTCATTAATCAAGTTTAGTTAGTTGAATTAGATAGTGTTCAGCTTTTAATAAAACATTTAAAAATATGTTAAAGGAAAGGTGCCTCAATCTTCCTGCCCAGACTTTTCTTCTCCCCATCCAAGAGAGACAGCATGGAGTATTGGATATAATGCTGGCCTGGAAGCAGTAAGACCTGGGTTCAAATCCTACCTCAGATACTTAACTAGCTGTGTGACCTTAGGCAAGTCACAACTTCTCTGGGCCTCATTTCATCATTTGTAAAATGAGAGTTGGACTCAAAGATCTCTAAGATCCTTTCTCTCTCTAACACTATGCTCCTATGACCCTATGGTCCCTCATCTACTGTCACTGACTCTGACTGCCACCCTCTCCTTACACATTTCTGATTCGTTCTTTTTTTTTTTTTTTTGTGAGGCAGTCGGGGTTAAGTGACTTCCCTATGGTCACACAGCTAGTAAAGTGTCAAGTGTGTCTGAGGCTGGATTTGAACTCAGATCCTCCTGACTCCAAGGCTGGAGCTCTATCCTCTGTGCCACCTAGCTGCCCCTCTGTAATTCATTCTTTCTCTCCTCTACAGCTGGAAAGATGGCCTTGGGTTCTGCGCACTGATTCACAGACACCGGCCAGAACTCATCGATTACGGGAAGCTGCGGAAGGTACTGAATGACAATTTGAAGGCGAATGTTAGAAATCCTCCCTTCTGTCAGCAGTGACATTAGCCCTACAAATTCAGTGGGGAAAAAGAAAAAGAAAAAAATGCTTTTAATCAGTTGACTGTTGGGGTGGAATCCAGAGAGAAAACCATCCCACTTTGAGACAACAAAACAGAACAAGACAGAATGTTTCAGAGTCTGAAGCCCCCACGTGTGTGAAGGAAAGAGGGAGAGGTTTCCTGAGGAACAACTTGTCATTGGTGGTATTCTTCAAGTGCATGATTGCACCTGGTACCCTTCTAGGCTCTGTACTCCGCATCATGCGACCTTTGCCTTCGAGTGGGTGCCAATCTAAACCATTAGTGACAACCCCATTAATTATTATAATAATGGTTCCTGCTACCATATACCACTTACCGTACTCCTTCGTAAGCCCACAGCTTGTAGTGACTTCTCCAGAGATCTCTGAGTCCCCGTCAGGGCTTTCTATCCTTAGAGCTGGGGGTGTAGAGGGTGGGTGTCACTTCACAATGTGCTCACATGTGGGGAGCTCTGTCACAAATCAGGAGGAATTTGAATGAGACATCAAAAAGAGTTTTGTTTTGTTGATTTAAATCAAGCGCTATCAGTGAGTTATCACTGTCAGAATGTTAATAGCATAAACAAGGATACATGAAATGAGTACATATGGAAATGATTGTGGTTGCAGCTAGGACCAGGTTGGACTATAAACCTGACCTGAGAGGCAGTGCTTGGAAGGGGTGCTTACTCCTTATTAGCAGCAATACTTCTGGCCAGGCCAGATGATGAAAAGTGACTTACCTGGGCCAAGCCATTAAGATTCCCAAAGGAGTATACTTGAAAAGAAAGCAGCTGGGAGTGGGGTTATGAGATCTTAGAGACACAGTTGGGAAAATAGCTTTTATTGCGGGGATTCCTGACCTTGGTTCATATTCTTTCCTCCCCCTGCACACCCCCCCTTTCCCCCCCGAAAAAGGATTTGTGGATAGATTTCAGAGGGCCTGGGAACTTGGATAGGAAAAAAAATACATCCTTATTTTTCACTAACTTCTAACTGAAATATGGAATTTTCTCCAATTATTTAAAGACATTTTTCTGAGAAAGAGCCCATAGGCTTCATCATATTGCCAAATGAATGGGTCCATGACACAAAAAAAGGTGAAGAACCTCTGATTTGTTGTACTATTTCCACAGATCTGGCTACTTCTGGTTATTTTAATCAGCTTCCTCCTTTAAAGAGGCCAATGTGGTTGTTCTAGGACATGAACTTCACCCCCAGACTTCCCTGTGAGGAAAAAGCTTGAGATTCCTATTTTGCATATGGAGAAACTGAAGCATAGACTAATGAAATGGCTTATTATTTTTTTAGGCCATGAAGGAGTCATCAAAAAGAAATCCATCAACTCCCTGTAAAACTGAATTTAAGCTTTCTCAAGGAGGCAAAAGATGTCCTGTTAGGCAAGGAAGACAGACCCCTTACTCTTCCTTTACAAATTCAGTTATTCAGTATGAGAGGGAATGGCCATTTCTCCCTATTCCCTAGTTGAAAAAACTGAGGCCTTGGGAGGCAAGGGAGTCCAAGTCATAACCCAGACCTTTCATCATCTGTTACCTCCTAACCTGATGATATTAGCTCATCTTTGTCTGACACTTTGCATAGCCCTTTTCTCGTGAGAACTCTGCAGTAAGTTGTGTATACATTATACCCAAGGAATAAAACTGAGGTTTATGTAAAGTGACCTGCCCAGTGACAAGTGATCTTAGAGACACTAAGTCCATAGGTACCCAGCCAGTAGTTTCAGCTTGTATTTAACCTCCAAGTCCAATGCTCTTTTTAGCATATCATTAGATCACCCTATGGATAATTCTTGGGACTTGGTGCAATATGAAAGCTTTGCCTTCTCGCCTAATTTTTTGATTGACCAAATCCTTAGGTATACTGCCGTATTGAGAAAGCTGCTCTTACAGCACCCCCTGGTGGCTACTTAGCAAACCAGCAACATGGCCATTCTTATCTAGCACCACCGGAAAGCCCTGTTAATCAATTAAATAGGATTCCTTGATAAATCTGCTGCTTCTGAGTATCTTGGTTTCCATTGGCAAGGCTAGAATCCAAAGGACTGCCCATCCTGGAGGAAAAATACACATAGAGCTGGATTTGAATGGCCCTCACCAGTCCATGGGTGTGTGTCAGAGAGAGAGAGAGAGAGAGAGAGAGAGTGAGAGAGAGATTTACTCAGAGGCAGTAACCCATGTGTGGCATGACCCCATTCAGTAGAGCCAGCCAGCCCTTCTCTTCCTTCTTGCTCCCTGTACAGAGAGGGGCTGGCCAGTGCTTCCTCAGGTTCTCACATCATGCCTTTGCTTTTCTTCCCTCCCTTCCCATTAGGATGATCCACTCACAAACCTAAATACAGCTTTTGATGTGGCAGAGAAGTATCTGGATATCCCAAAGATGCTGGATGCAGAAGGTAACAAAGCTTTTTTCTTTTTTAAACCTCACCAGATCTTTCCTTGATTTCCCTTCCTTCACCCTGATATACATAACAAGCTGTCAGAGGGACTCTGAACTGTTTATTCACTCTTCTCCTTTACTGTAGTCATTTGAGTCAGTCCAGCTAACAGTCATTAAATACCCTCTATGTTCTAGGACTATGTTTCTAGGTATTGTTCTAGGACCTCGGGATACATTGACAAAATCATGATATGTACACAGATAGACAAATATAAAGTATATGAAAAAGTAAATACAAAGTAATGTTGGTATATGTGAGGAGAGGGGCGCAAACAACTGGGGGCTTGGGAAAGGCTTGGTAGCACCTGAGCTGAACCTCGAAGGGATTGCAAGGGGTAGAAGTGATTAGAGCATGATAAGTAGGGGAGACAGAAGATGGAATGTTATACAGAGGGAAAAGGAGGTAGGTCAGTTCGGGTAGGTTGTAGAATGAATGGGTGGGTGGGGAGGAATGTGGCAGTCTGGGAAGATAATTTTGGAGCCAGATTGGGAAAGCCTTTAGATGTCAAAGGAATTTGGATTTTATCCTGGAGGCAATAGGGAGCTATTGGAGGCTCATGCAGTGGTGGCGAGGCCCAAACTAGGGAGGTTACAGTGGGGTGCAATATGTGAGAGAAGGGTTTGGTTGTGGGTGATTTCGAGAAGTAGACTCAACAGAACTTGGTAAATGACTGGGCATGGGGAGTGAGGGGTAAGGAGGAGTTGAAAATAATTTCAGAGTTGCCAACCTGAATGACTGAAGGGGGATGATAGTGTTTGAATAGAAATAGGTCAGTTGGGAAAAAGTTTGGACTGGGGTAGGGGTTGACCATGAATTCCAATTTTTTACTTTTTAAATTTGTGATGCCTCTGAGATAGCTAAGTGGAGATGTTCAATAAGCGGTTGATATGTTAGACTGGAGGTGAGGAATAGATGTGGGGATTGTGTGATCTTCATGGAGGTGATCAGGACAGATCCTTGGAATATACATATACATAGCAGATAGGATCAAGATAATGGATAGAGAGAGATTGGAGATAGGGGGAGGGGTTGTGAATGAAATTACCAAATGGATGAACTGCAGAAGATGATATATAAAGGTACAAGTGGGGTGGGGAGGGGGAGTTGGTCTTGGCAAGGAAAAGTGTTGCTTCCTTAGAGACTAGAGTAGGAGTGGAGAACCTGAGGCCTCGAGGCCATGTGTGGCCTTCTAGGTCCTTGAGTGCAGCCTTTTAACTGAGTCCAAGTTGTACCAAAAAAAATCCTTTTACTAAGGTGATTTGTTCTGTGAAGTTTGGATTCAGTCAAAGGGCTGCACTTGAGGACTTAGAGGGCCACACATGGCCTCCAGGCTGCAGACTAGAGGAGAGAAAGCGGGAGGATAATGAGGAGGCCCAGTCCTAGTCATTACTAGGATGTGAAGTTCTCTATCAGCGTTGACCAAGTCCTGAAGAATAGGGTGACCAGTTGCTGGAGTGGGGGAGGGGTAAGGAAGACTTCTCCGTAGCTGGCTTTGTTAATATCAGCATGTATGGGTATGGGAGGTTTCTCCTTTTGGGTTGACATTTGGCTTTATGTCTTCTTGGGGCTGAGTTTAAAAAAATAAAACACAAGACTTCTCTTGGCCTAAATAATTTACATGTGGTCTGGGTTTGCCACTAGAATCTCTATATTCATCACAGTTTTCAAGTTAGGTCCTCAGACTTTCATGCCCTGGTCCTGAGCTCATTCATAGCGTTATCCAAATAGGATGGGGCAGAGGCCAGAAATGGCAGGAGATGTTTCGGTTCCTCTTCCTCCTTTCATCCTGCATAGGTACCAGTTTGTCCCCTACTCTCATTTCTCTCTTAACCCAGTCTACCAATTGGCTCTTTCTTAACTCTAGGTTTTTCTCCACAGACATTGTTGGAACTGCCCGCCCTGATGAAAAGGCCATCATGACCTATGTTTCTAGTTTCTACCACGCCTTCTCAGGAGCCCAAAAGGTATCATGGGGTGCCTAGACCTCTCTGTATATACCACACTTAGTCCTCCTACTAATAAATACCTAGACTATTTCCCGCCCCCCTTCTTTCTCCCCCTTCCCTCAACACCCACCTGTAGCTACAGGTATCTGTGGTTTGGTTCCCTTTTGGTAGAATTAAGGACTGGTTCAGATAGGTATGCTGTCATCGCTTGGCTCTACCCTGCTGACTCTTCCCTCAACCCCCTTCCCCTTCCTTCCTTCTTCTCCTTCTCCAGTGTCTGAAAGCTGTGGGGCAAGTGCCCCTTCTTAATCAGGTACAAATGGCTTGAGGCTTTGGCCACTGGTGAAAAGAATAGACTCTTCTTGGGACTCGTCCATAGCTAGTGTTCAGGTGCAGCGAATGCTGCAATGTGGACCGTAGAATTTTTCCACTGGGTTGGCAGGTCTTTTGAGTGGGTCCAAGCTTTTGGTTGGCAGGGAACTTAATACCAGTCTCAGCAACTGGATTTTTCAGGAGAAACCCTGCAACGATAATCCTCACTCTGTCCTCCATCCTGCAAAGAAAACCCTAAATATTATGACTCCAGATCTCATGATGAGAGATTGTCTTACATGTTTTCCATTGTGTTGGCTTGACTTAATACTGTCCCATAAACAGCCCTCTACCCAGTCTGCCCTCATGGAGTGAGTGTAAACTCTGAGCTTTTTGCCCCTGACTGCATGCCTCTACTGTAAGGCTAAGGGCTTGACCTATCATTGGTGTCTGATAATGTTGGGGGGGGTGAGTCTAGATCCCACATCCCTCCGGTCAGCTCTGCTTTGGGCCACCCAGGGAGGTAACCAACAAACCTGCAGCCCCTCCCTGGAACCTAGGAGGTGTAGGAGCTGAACAAGACATTGTCTCCAGCCCCACTGAGGTGGCAGCAGGAGAATGTGATCTTGTTGGAGAAATGCTCATGGCAAAGAAAGGAACCCAGCATGACCTTGGCATTCCCTGAGCCCAGGATGAGAAACCCCTGTGGAGGTAGGGCTGCTGCTTTGGCCCATGGGGCGAACTCACTGATCATGTCCTCATCTGGATTCCCTGCTCTCCTCATGGAAATTGATGTGGCTCGTCTTGATATGCATGATAGGAAGTTTCTTCCCTTCCCCATGACTGCGCTCTTCCCTCTTTTTTGCTCTTTTTCGGTCTGTTTTTCTACTGTGTCTGCTCTGTTCCCGCAGTCTGTCTGTCTGTCTGTCTGTCTGTCTCTCTTCCCCCTCCCTTTCCCTTCCTCTCTTCTTCTCCTCCCTTTCACCCCTCCCTCTCTCTCTCCTCCTCTCTCCTTTCTCTCTTTCCCCACAACTGTTTTATTTTATTCTGTGTGCTGCTGCTTCTTACTTTATCCTTTCAACCTCTTTTCCTTCTTTGTGCAGATGTTGTAGGCACGCTAAGGCCGGATGAGAAGGCCATTTTGACCTATGTTTCATGTTACTGCCACGCCTTTTCAGGTGCGCAGAAGGTGAGATATAATTACTCCCCAGCCCATCCCTCTCACTCTTCCCTCTGTCACTTTCCTGTTTCTTCTGACTTTTCCCGTCACTTCCATAGATTCTGCCTTGACTGGGAGCTCAGAGAGAATGCTCAAATGCCTGCTTTCCTTTTATCCCTAGGCATTAAACTCAGGACCCTTCTCTGGGCCCATCTAATGGGCTTTTCAAAGTGGGGTGGGGGGTTTATAGAAGCCTTTAGCCTGAAAACATCAGGCATTTGGTAGAGAGATCACAAATGTATCTGTTCTCTCCTAGTTCTTAACCTCCTGTTACCCCATGGGGGGTGCTAGCTCTTTTTTCAGGAGGGAAGGGAAGAAGTGAGCCAAAGGCAGCCTATTCCCTCTGCCCCTGGGAATGAGAGCCTTTGCTGTCTGCCAGCTCTGCTCATCTTGCACCCCTGTCCCTTCATATAATCCTGTTCCTTTTCCAGTAGAGGATGGAATGTTTGCTCCTTCCTAGCCTTGAAGCACTTCCTATGTAGGAAGATGCTCCCCCAAGAAAGGGAAGCCTAGACTGTCCCTTTGCCCTGCTATAGTCATTTGGAGCCCGGAAGACTTTTGCCCTAGACAGGGGCATTCTGCCCAGGCCCTTGTCTGTTCTCCTTCCTTTCTTCTCCAGGATTTGAACTTAAGGTTTGAGGGAATTATGGCCCACATCTATTCTTAGTGTGGTTCTCTGCCCAATACAGTTTCAATTTACCCCCCTGGATGGACCTCCTTGGCCCTCTTCATGGTCACATGTGGGAGGGCAGCCCAGACTCGACAGATTTCTCTTATTTGCTGCCTATATACATTTCCTTTCCAGTTTTTTCACTTAGCTTTTTTGTCTCATTCCTGCTTTATGTTTCTCCTTATCCCTTCTCTGCATCTTTTGAAATTCCCCTATCCTATTCAGACTGTTTCCCCCCCTACCATTTTTTTTTTTACCATCCCCTTTCTCCTGTTTTTTTTTTTTAGGCCAGCACAAGTCAGGCTCGGAGACATCCTTGCCAGGGTACTCACCTCCCTACTCAAGAACAGGAGATCCTTGTAGTCTCCTGTCTTCAGTGTGGGGTGTTTTTGTGGGCTGAGCTCACTTCATATTACTGCTTCTTCCCTCTTTTTCTCTTCCCCTTTTTCTTCTTTGCATCCATTCTCCTTTTGTCCCTCATGCTGTCCCTCTCACCTGGGCTACCATTGTTATCATATCTGCCTGACTTTCTGTCTCTAAAGCATTTGCTGTGTGATAGCCAATGGCAGTGCACGGAAGAGAAGTATTGGGGTTCTTTTGTATGTGGCAGCCTGATTGTGATATTCTCCCTGCCTCCCACTCCTGCTGTAAACATTTCATGCTCCTTTGGTCCACATTCCTGGCACAAGAAGGTCACTGTGCAGGGCAAAGTTGGGTGTCATGGGGATCTTCTCATATCCTGGGTCAGGAGTCCTTCCAAAGGTCAGTCTTCCAATGAGACTCTGGGAAGCCCAAGGAGAGAAGCCATCTTGGCACCTTCCCCTTTCCCTGCCTTTAATCTACTTGGGCTCCGAAGGTCAAAGCCAAGCCAGCTAATTTCCTGGCTTTTTTCCTAAAGGTTGTCTGGCAACAGATAGGTGGGGGAGGGGGAAGGAGAGAAATAGTGGGAGCCAAGGGTATTATTTCATGCCTCACTTGACACTTTTGTATTACCCTGACCCCTTGCCCAGAAGCTTTATTTCTCTTTACTCTTTTACTTTCTTTGAGCTGAATTTCTGCTAAAGGTCATATGAGAACATCTGGCTTGGTCTGACATTTTTTTTCTCTGCAGGTGAGGCCTAGCCCTTGTAAAAGCTGATTTGCTTTTATCCAAGCTAGGCTTTTATTCTCCTTGGCTCTCCTGCTTATCTTCCCACCTTCCCCCCTCCCCCCCCAACCCCCATTTAGCTCATTGGTAATTTGGCACGACACGTGTATGCGTGGGCTTGAGTGATGTATGACCGCTAGAGTTGGGGGGTGAGTTCAGGAGTGACCAGTTTTGTTTCAGCAAGTCTTCCCTTTAGGATATGAGCTGAGCTTTTTAGTGGTCATAGAGGATTTGAGGTCTAGATTTTGCTTCTTTGTAAGGGACTGGAAGATACTGCCTTAGAGTTACAAGTAGCTATCTTCTGTCTCCCTTCCAAGAGGTGGAAGTATTCTGGTAGAGGAAGAACATCTATGGCTTGGGGAATAGCCTGGCCAAAGGCACAGACAGGAAATGGAGTATTGTTTATGAGAAACTGAAATCAGGCCAGCCCCACTGGCACTGTAGTATGTGAAGGGCAGTGCTGTCTAATAAGCCTGGAAATGTAGATTATATAGAATGAGGAAAGAAGAGAGCCGAGGACAGAGCCTTGTGGTAATCCTACTTAGAGGATATTCTGTGGATGATTATCCAGCGAAGGAGACTTAAGAGAAGTGGTCAGGTAGGTGAGAACCAAGAGTGAGGAGTGTTAGGAGAAACCCAGAAAGGAGAAAGTATCAGGAGGAGAGGATGATCAGTGGTCAGATTTCACAGAGAGGTCAAGAAGAATCAGGACTGAGACGAGCCATTGGATTTGATGGTCAAGAAGCCGTTGACCTTAGGATCCAGATGAGATCATTGCCATATTTATATGGATCTTATCTGCATGGACCAAGGGATGAGTGACTAATTCAAAATGATGTTTAAAAGAAATATTAAGGTTAATGTTAAAGCTACATACTAAGGATCTTTCCAGATTGTTCTTGAGGATTTGCATTTGTTAGTGTTTCCTCTTTGGTTATTTGCTATCAGGTGAATTAGTAATAATTACTGGAGTTATAGTGGCTTGTACAGTGCTTTCATCTTGGGACTTGGAACTGGAATGCTAAAAATTCCCAGAAAAAAGAGCATACAAATACAAAACAATTGATTTACAGTATTATAATAAACCTTAAAACTAGTGGTCATATGTGGCCAGTCTGTTGCTTGGTTTTCTTTGACTATACTTAACAAGGGGGAGGAAACGGAATCAGTGGACAGTAACAGTGATGGGGGTGGGAGGGGGAGAAACCCCACCAATGCAATATTTTTTGAAGAAAACAATAAACCCTTAATAGAGATAATTCACTTCACGAACAAACAAAATGAAAATAGAAAGTAAAAGAACAGAAAGCAAAATTTTGAAATGTTGATGTTGACTGTACACTTATAAAAAATTTCACTCAAATACCTGTTTATGTATAAATAGAGAGGCAAGATGATGTTAGATAGAACATTGGATTGGGATTCAGGAGATCTTTGTCCCACTTGACTTGGACTCATTCTTACAGTCTGGTCTTCTCAGCTAGTAGATGGTCCAAGTTCCTTTGATAATTTCCTATTCCTGTTGACTTAGCTCTTATTACTTTGCTAAATCTATAAGGTCTTGAACACACCTGGTCTTATAATTACGATCATGAGTTGGAAGGGACCTGAGACCATGTTCCTCATTTAACAGAGGATCGTGGGATTGTAGATTTAGAACTAGAAGGGATCTTAGGGGAAACTGAGGCTTATAATTTTTCCCTGGGTCACAGAGCTGGTAAGTATCTGAGGCAGGATCTGAACTCAGGTTTTCCCTTGATTCCAGTCTACTGCTCCATGTACTACACCATATTGCTGTTCTTCTGGGTTTATGTCTTGGGTTTCTCTTAACCCATTGTATTAGTTTTCTTTCCTTTGCCTATGTCTCCAGCCTCTGTTACTAGACTGGGACTTTATGTTCTGATCCCTCCCAAATGCTTAGATAGGATGGCTAGGCCTTGGTCCCATCCCTGCTGTAGTATGAGTGCTGCTGTTGTTGCACTGCTGGGGAAGCTGAGGCCTAGAGAGATGAAGTGGCTTGTCCAAAGTCACCTAGCTAGCTGGTGGAGTGGAAGAGTTGTCAGATCTGGAGTCAGAGGACCTGGGTTCAAATTCTAGTTCTGCTCCTTATTGCTTGTATTAAGTAAGTTACTTCATCTCTCTGGGACCCAGAGCCACCTGAATGGCATCATGGTGTAGCTTCTTTATCCATAAAATGAAAGGTCTAGACTTAGGTCTCTTCCGCCTCTAAATCTATGATCCTATGACCCTGGCTCCTCTAACCCCAAATTCAGCTTTTCTTCTTTCCTCCTTCCTTCTTCCCTTTCTTCCTCCCATCCTTTTTTCATAATACTGTTTACTTCTTCCTACAAACCAGGAAAAACCCTGCTCATAAAGCTCCACTCTATAGTTTCCCTTTTTGGAACAGTCATTCCCTTTGACATCCTCCTCAGAACAAATCTCTACTTTCTGGGGCCCCTCCACCAATGTGCTCCCCGTAGCTATTAAATCTTCTCTCTGGGCTCAAAAGTAGTTCTTTCTGTTAAAGAATTAACCAATTCTGTTCTCAGAGGTCCTTATATTAATAAAGATAATAGCTCACATTTAAAGTCCACAGAGTGCTTTCCTTACAGTAGTTATCTAGATGGGTATACTGAAAGTACTTGTCTCCATTTTACTGATAAGGAAACTGTGAGTCTCAGAGAGATTAAGTGACCTGTTTGGCATCATACAGCTAGTGGGCATCAGATAGGATTTAAACCCCTAAGCCTCTGGACCATCAGAGTATAGGCACAGAGTATAGGAGAAATAGCCTAGTTTAGAAGATTTGCTTTAAGTCAGGCTCAGCCACTTTGTGAGACTTTAAGAAATCATTTACTTCTCTGCATTTTTATATGTAAAAGGAGGAGGTTAAACCACTCCGGTCCTTGTTTTAAATCCTGTGAAATCTTCTTTCCTTTAATTATATCTTGCTAATTCTCCATGTGGGAGGTCACTGGAACTGATTCCAATCCATCTCCTCAAACAGAAGCTCACTGAATCCCTTTGCATTTCTTAGAAAAAAAATGTAGTGGTATCAGTTGTTTTTCCATCACCTTTGTTTTATTCATTCATTCATTCATTTACTCTATCCCTCCCCTCTCCAACAAGCCATTCTTTATAGTAGAGAATAAGAAAGAAAGCAGTTAAGCTGACAACACCACTGTATCTAATAATATACATGATGTTTTATATCCACATTCCCCCACTTCTACATAGAAGGAAGCTTAGCTCTTTTAAAAGGACTAAACTCATTTTATTGCATGTAAAAATATGTCAAGGCATAGTTTAACCCAAGCAGCAAATGCAAGGTAATCACACAGATTCCTTTATAGACTATATCTTTAACTTTTAAAGGTAGAAACATGAAAGGCATTTTCACCTGGTACCATTGCTAGGTAATTCTGGGCTGGAAGTCTGACCAAAGGTGGTACTTTCCATGTTCTTTTGGGCTAAATACAGTTGGCTGGTTTATCTCCCCTTACCCAGCCCTGTTTCTATACATTTTAACCAAAGCAGGACAATGGGGCGAGGAGATAAGGAAGAGATCCTAAAGGCTTCATTTTTTAAAATTCTGATTTTATTTGTTTGAGTATGAATATGTCAACTTAGTTTACTGAAATGAACATCAGGAGCCAGATTGTCATTTAATAATACAGAGTTAGACTGACTTTCCCAAAATGGGAATAATTCAATTCCATGCTAAGACCTTAGAGGCTTCCCTCATCCCTTATTACTTATCGCTTTTATCAGAATCACATTTTCTGCCTGATGAGATGAGGCTGAAAATAAAGGTACCAGAGGTTTTTAGAGCTAGACCAGATTTTAGAGATCATTTAGTTTAGCCTTGTTTTACAGAAAGGCCTAGAGAGGGGCATTATTAACCTATCCAGGGTTATAGATAATATATATCAGTCCTAAGATTCCAGCTCGGGTCTTTTGCTCCACCATTCTTTGCCCTTTCTGAGAAATTAGTATTAACTGGGACTCATCCACCCTTATGTTCCCTTCAGCCTTATGCAAAACATTAAAATTTTGAACATAGAATTAGAAATCTGCCATTAGCTCTTTACTGCCCTTATTCCCCTCAAGTTCTTCTCTCTTCCCTTCCATTTTTTCACTCCTTCCTCTTCCTTTCTCTTCTTTTCTTCCTGGCCCTTCTTCCTTTCCTTCTTTCCCTTCCTCTTCCTTTTTTTCTTCATTCTTCTCTCTTCCCCATTCTCTTCCTTTCTCTCTCCCTTTTTTTTCCTCTCCCCATTCTCCTTCCTTTTTCTCTCCCTCTTCTCATGCCCCCATCTCACCTTCTGCCACTTGCATTCATTCCTCTTAAGATCTCTGCAACTGAAAAGACTAGCTAATCTGGTCTTCTTCTTCTACTACTCAGTATTACAGATGAATCAAAAGCTAGGTAGGTAGCTGTCTTAGTTAAAATGCTTTACAAGGAGGGAGATTTTTACAACCTGCCTTGATAACATTATTTAATTACTTCCACCTTCAGGAAGTTCTTCCTTATCCTGAATCTTCCTAAATCCCTCCTACTGTAGTTGAAGCCCATTTGTTTTTGTTTAGGTATAGTCAATCCAAAAACTGTTTGGTCACTATCCTTTATTTAATAAAACTGTGTATGCTTCGGGAGCTGATATATACTTTTCCTTTAGACATTTTCCTCTTTGGCCTTCTAATAAGTTCTCATTTAGCCACATCACCGCTTAGTTTATGTAGGGGCAGATGTTTTATCCCTGGCTGCTTTCTTCCTCTCTCCTTCCCTAGAACGTGCTACTTGGGTCACCAACCCTTCAGTCATATACTATGGAAAACATTAATATTTATATTAATCAAAACAGAGGGAAGTTAGGAATGGAATTAGAATGAGGAAGCTAATCAGTCCTCTTGGATTTGCATCTCTGTTTAGCACCAAATAGAAGCTGAAGCTGGTCCATTCATGTCCTACAGAGTCAACATTAATGAATGGGTAAAGAAGGAATAGCAGGACACTTTGCATATCTCTGTGTGGACTGGTGACAGTGACCCTTCTGGGGTTAGGTGTGAGATGAAGATGGCCCTGGAGCAGATAATACCGTATCTAGTCTCTGATGAGTATTCTGGGGCAAGTGTGCGAGTAATTTTTCTTTCTCTCTCACTATTCTATTGCAAGGCGGAGACAGCAGCTAATCGGATCTGCAAGGTGCTGGCAGTCAACCAGGAGAATGAGCAGCTGATGGAGGACTATGAGAAGTTGGCCAGTGATGTAGGTCCCTGCCTGGGGCATGTGCCCAGGCATTTTCCTGATCATGGTGGGGAATGATACTTGTCTTCCATTGATTCAGCCCAAGAAGGAAAGTTGTTCTCATGTCATTGTCCAACCTCATTTTGTGGGAGTAGGGTACATCCTGATATTGCATGTGCTCACTCATCACATCAAAGTTTGCCAAGGGTTATGTGGAGCAACTTTGTATTTTGTATGAAAGTTGTACAGTACAGCTCTAGCTCTTGACTATATGACCCTGAGCAAGTCATTTCATCTTTGTGGACCTCAGTTTCCCCTTCTATAAAATGAAGGGACTAGTCTAGTTTCTCTTTAAACCCCTTCCAGATTCAGTGACTCTCCTGTTTGTGTGTACGTACATACATGTGCCCACACTGTAAACCAGGAAAAGGCTGTTGGAATGTGTTGAGTATGATTTGGAATTGACCTGGTGGTGAATTCTGATTAAATAATGGGCCTAGGCGTGCTGGGGAAATTGGATTCATTAACTGTCGCCTCAGACCCCAGATCTATTCCTGGAAGAGATCTCGGAGATCATCTAGTCCAACCTCCTTTTACAAATGAGGAAACTTGAGGCCTAGAGAGACTTGCTCATGGTCACATAGGTAATTTCAGAGGTGGACTTTCAGCCTAGGTCTTCTAATTTTCCAGCCACTCCTATTTCTGTTGCACCAAGCTACCTGTCAGTTTTGGATTGTGAGGTTTCGACAGTATCAAAGGGATAGGATGCCAATTCCTACCTCCTCTCCTTCTACCTTACTGTCTCTGACGCTTTCCTCTCTTCCTGTCGTAGCTGCTGGAGTGGATCCGTCGCACTGTCCCGTGGTTGGAGAACCGGACCCCTGAGAACACCATGCAGGCCATGCAGCAGAAACTGGAGGACTTCCGAGACTACCGCCGCCTGCACAAGCCCCCTAAGGTCCAGGAAAAGTGCCAGTTGGAGATCAACTTTAACACATTGCAAACCAAACTCCGACTCAGTAACAGGCCTGCCTTCATGCCCTCTGAGGGGAAGATGGTCTCGGTGAGTTGTAGGCAGGCAGAGATGGGCAAAGTGCTGCGTGGTAGTAGGACTTGCTGTCATGCTCAACACTCAGAGCATACATAGACATTTTCGGCCCAAACGAAAATTTATTGTTAGTATTATTATTATTTTTAAATCAGTCGATAACTTGTTTCTGTATCAACCTAATTTCAAAGTCCACCCTTCCCCCGAAGAACTATACTCTGAAATAAAAAAATAAAGAGGGAGGGGGAAAAAAAAGAGGTCAGCAAAACTAACTCATATATTAATGGAATCTGATAGTATATGCATGTACCATACCCCTAGTGACCCACCTCTGCAAAGATGGGAAGGAGTTCAAGCAAAACTTTATTAAACATTTTTTTTCTTACACTTTGGACTAAGTCACTCCCGAAAAGAGCGTTTCCCTATATATAGCAGAACACAAGAAGAGGATTGTATATGACATCATAAATCTCCATCTCTTCCCATTTGCAAGCAAGCTTTACTGAGGCATCCTCTTTACAAAAGTCTGATTGTCTGAGTGATATTCCTGGATTTCAGGCCACTGTGGTTTTCTGTCATGATCCATAGCAGGCCTCTTTTTACCTGGTGATGAAGACCTTGATACCTGCATTTAGATAGTCTGTTTCTGGCTGCATTCACCCAAACACTAGCCAAATCTCTACAGCAGATTTCCTTTTGTGCCCTTTCCTGGGCCATCTCCAGTTATCCTGATCTGTATCTGGCCACTGGACCTAGATAGCTCTGGAGGAGAAAGTGAGGCTGGTGACTTGAATATCCCCACCTCACACCCCTCTCCCCCTCCCCCCCCAAAAAAAGAAAGAATTATTATGAGGAAAGGAGACATGTTGCATTCCTTGTGAATGAGTCAGTAGGGTCATATGGAATGATATGCTTCATCCCAAGCAATCCGTGAAATCTTCTTCAGGGATAGACCATTATAGCTTAGTATTAGCCAGTAAGCATTTCTCCTGCTGCTAAAAACTCAACTTAGAGGCATCTCTTTCTAATAAATGTTTTATACTTTTTAAATATTGTCATGGACCCTCTGCCCACCCATATGTACAAAGAAAGCAATGCTGATTTAGTCTGAGTATTTCAGAGAGACTTGTACCATTTATGAGAGTAGCTTTTGAAGAATATAATAGATTTAGGAAAGATGGAGTAAACCCTGAAGGTGACTGAACAAAAGGTATTTAACTCCTTGCCTTTGTGGTGTTATTGTGAGGAAATTACTTTGTAGCTCATAAACTACTGTATCAGTGTGTGTTATATAGGTATTGTATAGCACCTCCCATCAGCTTGCCTTTACTTGCGTTTTTCATGTATTTGTCCTGTCTGTCTCATAGTGTGTAGATAGACCCCTTCCTTATTATCTAGTATAGTGCCCTGTCTATACTGGCTCCTAATTATTAATGATTGTGTTAGGTAATTATTTTACCCTGAAGAAGGTCATAGGGTGGTTGGGAGAACATGATAGCTGTGTTCAAGAATATGAAGGTTTATCACATGGAAGAGGGATTACATTTGCCCTGGAGAGTAATAGTTGGAAACTGGAAGGAGGCAGATTTAGGGTTTTGTTTTTGAAGAGAAATCTTCCTGATTGTTAGCTATTCAAAATTTGAATGGGCTGCTTCAGGAAATAATGGGTAACTATAGCTGGAGATCTAGAAGCAAAGGCTGACTGACCACTTATTGGAGAAGTTATTGAAGGGATTCTGAGGTCCCTTCCAAATCCGAGGTTCTATGACCATCTGGATTCTGCACGTACTAAGGATTCAGCCATTAGGCAGCACCTCCTTGGCCCTAACTGCTGACGGTACTTTCTTGCTGTCTTCCATCGGGGCCAGAAGAATGCAGAAAAATCCCTCTCCAATGGAGGCTTAAGTGGCCTCAGGAAGAGAAACAGATTTTTTTTTTCCCTGTTGAAACCATTGTAGCTTAGGGTGGGAGGGATGGATGAATGTGTGTCAGTTATGGGTCTGGGACTAGGTGGGGTGGGGAGGGTTAAGTGGGGTTGGAGAAGAATTCTTGCCCTGGAAGATAACGAGCAGCTGATGCCATAGTGATGGAATGAACTGGCAGTGTCCCAGAGCCCAGGTGGGGCTAGGAGCTGGGCTTTCCCCATAGTGAAGTGAGTCCAGATGTAAAGTGCTGCCCTTTTCGACACTACTTTTGTCTGTTCCTCCAGGATATCAATAATGCGTGGGGGGGCCTGGAGCAGGCAGAGAAGGGCTATGAGGAGTGGCAGTTGAACGAGATCCGGAGGTTAGAGCGACTGGACCACCTGGCTGAGAAGTTCCGGCAGAAGGCCTCTATCCATGAAGCCTGGACAGATGGTAAGGCCAACCTCAGAGGGATTCTGACCTGCTTTTTATGATGTCCCTGAAGCAGGGGTCCTTGGAAGTTAAGGGATCCTAGTTTTCTTGCTTTCTTCCTAATATTTGTCAACATAGGTCTTGGATTCCCATGTGTCAATGGACCTGGGAAATATTTCCATTCAGCCCATAGTCCCCTTCAAATTATCCCATAGCGTTTAACCAAAATGAGATTGGTGACACTCTTTGAAATCTCTAGATGGGAAGCTACATGCTAGGCCAGGCAGCAAGTGTTTCGTGAATACTTATTTCATGGGTGATTCGTGCAGAATTTGTCTCTGCTCTGAGAGTCACTGAGGCGCAGAGATGGACACTGATTTTCTTTCCCCCGGGTGGTGCCCGAGATTCTGCATTTGAGTGTGGTATCAGGACTGGAAGAAGAGGCCGAGAGAAGAGCTCCCAGAGAGCATAGCAATTCAGACCCATCTCATAGGACCCCCGTATGAGAGTCTTTGGGATCCTTAGTTCAAAGGACCCCTTCATTTGATCTTACAGTTGAGCTTTGTGGTAATATTTCCAGGTCTGCTTGCCTTCCTTTCCCCAAGTCCTTATGAAGTTGATTATATGGCCTTTTCAGTGGATTTTGGCTTGTAAAGATTGGGGCATTTGTGGGGGGGTGGTCAAGAGGGAGGAAGGAGTTAAGTGGGTATGTGATATGTGCATGCTATGAGTTCATTTTCACTTGGCTTCCACGTGGAAACATGCCGTCCTTCGTTCCTTCACTCATTCATCCTTTATTTATTATTTATTACAGTGCCTGGCACGTAGTAGGTGCTTAATAAATGCCTGTTGATTGATTGGTTGATTAAGCACCTACTCAGTGCAAGGCACTGTGCTAGACGCTGGCTGCCGATGCAAAGCTATGGCACAGACCCTGTTCTTAAGGAGTTGATAAACCAACGGGATTAAAGACATGTATACAAAGAAGCCTGAGATAAGTACAAAGGGGGAGAAGTTTAGGCAAAGTACTGTGAGAAATTTTGGGAGACTTCTTTACCTGAGAGAGAAGAGGGCTCCCAGGGAAGGCTTCCTGGAGGAACTTGAACCCGAGTATCTGAAGATGTTACAGATGACCAGTCATCAGTGGGACATGCACCTCAAGTTTGTTTCTTGTAGTAATATTGATAACGACTCACGTTACTCTAGTGCTTTACAATTTTCAAAGTACTTTGCTGACAACAACCTTGTGAGGTAGGTAATTCGAGTGTCATCACCCCCATTGTGCAGATGAGGAAACTGAGGCCCAGAGAATTAAATGATTTGTTCATAGCTTGTAAATTCAGGGCTGGGAAGAAAATCCAGAATTTTTGGCTCTAAGTCCAGTGTTCTTTCCATGAGTCGGGGGTGGTTGTGGTTATCCATTCTTGTTCTCTTTTTTTATCTGTATCATTATATATACCCCATTTGCAAGATGGCTGGCCAGGGTCAGAGATTGGGATGATGTAAGAGCACAGACAACTGGCCCACCCGTTATCCATCCCAAGGCTTTGTTACCATGGACAAAGTCGACCTTTTGGATTGACTGAGCTAACCAGCCTCTCTTAGGAATGTGGTCAATGGCCATACTAGTTGAAGATGATGGTTTGGTATAGTCCAATAATAGGTAGTCAGACGGTCCAGTGATCCTTTACTCATGTATTGAATACCTCTTGCTACCATATGTTTCGAACTGTGCTGGGTACTGCGGGAGCTACAGAAGAACTCTCTTCTGTTTCTGCCCTTAACGTAACAAGACATGCACCCATGACCATGATAAAACAACTTGGGACAGCATTATAATTAATGCTAAACAGTTGCTAGAGATAATAATTGCTCCATGGAAGAGGCAACCATGGGCATGAATAGTAAGTTGGCGGAGGCCTCTTGGAGGAATTTTATCACTAACAGGAACTCGAATAGATGATTTGCATGAGAACATATGATGAACTGAGTTGTTTCATGGTGACATCTGGGGTTAGGGATATTCCCCCATTTACCTCTTAATAGCCTGTTTGAGACTGTGGATTTACCAAAACCCTTCTTGAACCTAGGCAAGGAGGCCATGTTGCAGCAGAAGGACTATGAGATAGCCACCCTTTCCGAGATCAAGGCCTTGCTGAAGAAGCATGAGGCCTTTGAGAGTGACCTCGCTGCTCACCAGGACCGAGTGGAACAGATTGCTGCTATCGCACAGGAGCTGAAGTAGGATTCATTCACTCCTCTTTCACCCCAGCCCTTTCTCCACCTTGGTCTTCCTGCAGGGGATGCTGGAATCATGATGTGATTGGGGGAGGGAGTGCCTATAACTTTTTGAAACTCTAGTGCAGCTTCTTGGTTTGGAGTTAGTCTTCAAAATGGGAAGGACACAAACCGTCAGAGGTTGCAGTCCATGAACACTGGCCCCCACGCAGGAAGACAATGAATGCAAAAGACCGGAGTCTAAAAGCTAATTTCAGTACAGATCTGAGCTGCTGACCACGTTCCACTTCACTGTCAGAGGAATAGGGACAGATTTAGAAGGCCTGAGGTGATACCTACTGAGTATTAATGTAATCAGAACTTTTATTTACAAAGCATTTTATTTACATTATCTCATTTGAACCTCACAAAAATCCTTGTATGATAAGTGGTGACAATATTATAATAATAACCCCCATTTTATAGATGAAGAAACTGAGGCCTAGAGAGGTTAGAAGTCTTACCCCAGATCCCAGAGCAAGGAAATGTTTGTTAGATTGGGGACTTGAATGGAGGTCATCTGACTTCTAGTTTTGACAATGGCTTTGGAACTGTTTTTCCCTTAGATGTCAGGGAATATGCCTGGTGCCCCAGCCAGTCCAGAGCTGGGTCATTTATTCCTGAGAGGAATTATATTTTGCCTGCCTTTGGGTTTTTTTTGCCCATGTCTGATTCCTTTATTTTCCATCTCCTATTTCCTGTCTCATTGAGAAGGAAAGATCCAACCCGGAGAGGACTCCTTTTTACTGGAGATGACTTCCTTGGTCTGAATGGAGATTCCTTTGGCCTTGTGTATTCTTTTAATTTGTCAAAATCACACCCATGATGAACCTTTATGCGTGTACTTTTCCATCAAAGGAGACTAGCGTACTAGTTTACTCTCCTTTTTAATTCTTTGATTTTATTTTTCAAACATTGATGCTTTGGAATTTATTTCATTTTAAAAAGAAATCATTTCAAAATCATCCTTATAGAACCATCTCCTATAACCAAGAAAGAGTGTTAAGCAAAGCAAACTGAAACATCAGCCATGTCCTACATTGTAGGTATGATTTCATGCTCTTCGTCCACCATTCTCCTAACAGGAGATATGGAAATAAGTTTCTTAGTTCTTTATAATCAAGATTAGTCATTACATTATTTTGAAATCACAAATTTAGTCCTCTATAGTTGAAGAGCAGTGCATGAAATGATTCTTGGTCTTTTTCCTCTTATAGTGAATTGGATTACTACAATTCTCCCAGTGTCAATGCTCGTTGCCAAAAGATCTGTGACCAGTGGGACAACTTGGGAGCGTTGACCCAAAAGAGAAGGGAAGCTTTGGAGGTGAGCTCTGAAAGGAAAGCTGTATCTCAAATATATTCCTCTTTTCCTGCTTACTTCTTAATTTTCTACTCTTTTGGGCTAGGAAACCTCTCTTCCCCCTCTTCCCACCTCAGTGTTCTCTTCCCCTATTTTTTCCCCCTGCTCTTCTCCTTCCCCAGTTCTAGGACTGTCCAAGATTGGGAAAACGTAGGATTCATAATTCCTTGAGACTTCCCCATTTTGACTTGACTAAAATATGCATCTTTTACTATTCTGAGCAGAATACAAGCTCTCTTTTAAGCTCCTCTAAACCAGGAGTGTGGGGGGTGGGGCAGCTAGATGGTGCGGTACATAGAGCACCAGCCCTGGATTCAGGAGGACCTGAGTTCAAATTTGGCCTCAGACACATAACACTTACTAGCTGTGTGACCCTGGACTTAACCCCATTGCCTAGCCAAATAAATAAATAAAATAAAATAAACCAGGAGTGAGGAACCTGAGACCTTGAGGCCATGTGTGGCCTTCTGGATCCTTAAGTGAGGCCCTTTGACTGAATCTAAACTTCACAGAACAAATCCCCATAATAAAAGGATTTGTTCAGTAAAACTTTTTAGAGTTTAGAGTCTAAACTAAACTGTGATTCCCTTAGAGTGAACATTACTCTTCTTCTATTACTTTCTGTCATCCCAGGCCCTGTATCCAGCCTCTTTCAGTGGAAAGAGAAGCCAGGCATCAGAAAACCTGGGTTCACATCATGCCTCTTCGGCTTAATGCCTATGTTACCTTGGCCAAGTCACTTCCTCCCCGGGTCTCAGTTTCCTCGTAGGCAAAACGAAACGCTTGGATTCAGTTGCTTCTAAAGTTCCTTTTAGCCCTAGATCTATGATCTTCTGAACTCCTGTTTTCTCCTCTAACTTCCTAATTCTGTTGATGCCCAGCGGACAGAGAAACTGCTAGAGACAATAGACCAACTGTATCTGGAATATGCCAAGAGAGCTGCTCCCTTTAATAACTGGATGGAAGGGGCCATGGAAGACCTGCAAGATACATTCATTGTGCATACCATAGAGGAGATCCAGGTACTCGCCTTCTCACAACAAGTCCCTAAAGAATAGTGAGTCTGAGCTAATTCGGGAGGGTTTCATGGTAAGTGCTAGAGGCACAAAGCAAGTGCATCCTAGCCAGTACTCCTTCCCCTCACTAACCCCCCGCCCTGAAGCTTATGAATATCTGAGTAGTCTATAAATTCTCTCGGTAATTGCTATTATCATTAAGGTAAGAAAGTAGGATTCTTCTTTCTTTTCTTTCTAATCTTTCATCTCCCTCCCCTCTAATCAGGTTGCATTCTGGTTTCATTTTTTTGGTGCCTTACTGCTTTAAGGTTGCCTGTAATATTCCTTTTAATAGGATTTTGCTTGGATAAAAGTGATCTTTAGAGAGGATGCAGAGAGTATTGTTATTACACCCCTATAGCTTCTCCCATTAAGGGCTGTAGAATTTACTCCTTCCTGTGATATAGGGAAACAGCAGTAGAGAGAGGGAGATATCTTGTAAGATTTAGGGCTGATGGTCCTGGATTGGAAGCCCTGAAAAGATGCATTCTGAAGTTCTAGTGGAATACAAGCTCCATATTTGGTTTGACTGCACAGCACATGGTAGTACTCTCTTAATGTATACTCATTAATTGACTAAAGAAGTCAAGTCCATCTAGTTTGATTAGGGATTTGCAGAGTTGTGGTGTCTATACCCTTGTATCCATACTCTAAAGAAAGGAGCTAATCCCGGGGGCCACACATTGCCAAGGGCCATCTGGGTTGGTGCTTCTTCCCATAACTGGGTGAATAAAGCTCCCTGCACCATTTTGGCTTTTCTGTGTCGGCTGTCAGCCCTGCATAGTTAATAGCTGCATAACCTTAAGCAATTTCCTTACATTTTCCTCATCTACATTATACAGGGGTTGGATTAGGTTAGAGATTGTGTCATAGACACATGGCAGTCTGGTAAAGCCCCCTTTTCAGAATAATATTTTTAAGTGAATAAAATAAAATGCGTAGGATTATAATTGAATCCTATTATGTTGATATGTAGTTATCAAAAATATTTTTTCCATCCAAGCTTACAGGCTTCTTGAAATCTATCCACAGACCTCAGGGAGCAATGGACCTTCAGGTTAAGAACCCTCTGGATTAGGTTTAATATCCCTTCCAGCCATAATTCCTTTAGCTCTATGAATGATTTTTAGTTTCTAGAGTAGCAACAGGCATTTTCTTAGTGTCTCTCTCCCTGGCTTGAGCCACGTGTTATTTAGGTGATGGTGGTTGTTCAGAAGGCTGCTTGTGTGACTCTGCTTCCAGCAGTTCATTATTCTGAGTATCCCAGGAGGACTTAATGTTATTTTACACGGAAGGCACTAGACCCTTGGAGTTGATGACTGTGTTTTCTTGCCATCTTTCTTACATTCCTATTTCCCACCTAGGGATTGACCACAGCCCATGAACAATTCAAAGCTACCCTCCCTGATGCTGACAAGGAGCGACAGGCCATTCTAGGAATCCATAATGAAGTTACCAAAATCGTCCAGACATACCATGTCAATATGGCTGGGACCAATCCCTACACAACCATCACCCCTCAGGAGATCAATGGCAAATGGGATCATGTGAGTCAAGCAGTGGGCTTAAAAAGGGTCAGAGTGCAGGGCGAGGGGAGAGGTGAATAGCAGCAAGCTTGGAGGAACAAAGCAGAAGAACTAATGTTCAACTCGTTCTGGACCCAAATAAATCTGCCCCCTCTTTCATCTCTCCTGGCACTCCAGGTTCGGCAACTAGTACCACGGAGGGACCAGGCCCTGATGGAGGAGCACACCCGTCAGCAGCAGAATGAACGACTCCGCAAACAGTTTGCAGCCCAGGCCAATGTTATTGGGCCCTGGATCCAGACCAAGATGGAGGTAACGCGGAAGCTGAAATCTCTCCCCTCTTCCTTTCTCTCATTCATTCCCTGTTTCCTAGCTCTTCTCTCTCAGCGTTCTCTGTAAGGAAGACTTCTCTTTTCTGTCTTTGAGGAAGTAAACCCTAGCACCCCAAAGATACCTCCATAATTTAGAGGAACCCATGCTCAGTCAGTTAATTATTTTTTGGGTCTCTGCTATGAGCAGGGCAACATGTTAAGACTGTGAGAGATACAGAAGTGTAAGAGGCAGTATGGCAGATTCAGAGGTCCTGGATTCAAATCCCAATTCTGTCACTTAGTAACTTGTGTGACCTCGTGTGCTTAATCTCTGTGGGTCTCATCTACTTCATCTACAAAATGAAGGTATTAGACTAGTTGAACGGTGTCAAATGCAAATAGAAATGGGGACCATTCAACTCTACCTAAGGGTCCTGTGAGCTGCATATTGACTTAGAAAACCACAAATTAACATTATCTATGTTGTATAATATTTTTATTTATTTTATTAAACATTTCCTAATAATGTTTTAATCTGTTTCTCAGTGGGAAGTTTTGGAAGTTTTCTGTGGGAAGGACTGAGTTCAACACTTTTGGAAGCTCCCTACTGGGTCAAAACCAATGACTTTGTGAAGACACAATTCCCACACCCCAGGACCTTATGTTCCATTTCAGGAGAGAAGATTAACCCATATAAAATAATCAGGGAACAATATAAACTGCTATACCATTAAATGCTAGGCTGAATGGTCCATATTCTTAAATACCATAGGGAAATCAGGTTTTAGTGAGGGAAAGAGAGGCAGCCTCTTGGATTAAATGAGACATAACTTGGTGTTCTTAAGGATGGTTTGAATTTAAATAGAAAGAGGGATCTCCAGGCAGCCACAACAGCTTTAACAACTATATGGAGTTGAGAAGGAGCATGATTTTTGTAGTGGCCAGTGAAATATGTATGTTTGGAAATAAGATTGGACAGGTAGGATAGGTTGAGATTATAAAAGGCTTAGAAAGCCAGGCAATGGAATTTAGGTTGACTTTGTTATTTGCTGTCCTCTTCTGTGATCATTTCAGCCATTCTAGGACTTCTTTGTCTCCTGAGGGAGTCCTGAAGGAATTCTAGACTCAAATATTACTAGGTTAAACAGATACAATCCTTGCCTTTTCTGACTTTACATATCAAAAATGCAAAGATGTTGGGTTCTTTCCTATTCTTTCTCAATTTTGAGAGTCTTAATCTTCTTAAAACTCTTTAAGGCTCCATAGACATGGCCTGGGGAAGGCCATGATTCAACAGGAACTCAAAGTGTTGAAGTGCTGAGATTCCTGGGAGCCCAAAATTTCTCCCTGTAGGTCACAGTTGTGTTAATTCTTTGGTGGGGGTAACTTTGAGGCAATGTTGCTCTCTCTTTGCTTCTGTAGGAGATTGGCCGCATCTCCATCGAGATGCATGGCACCTTGGAGGACCAGCTCAATCACCTTCGACAGTATGAGAAGAGCATTGTTAATTACAAACCAAAGATTGACCAGCTGGAAGGAGACCACCAGCAGATCCAGGAGGCTCTTATTTTTGACAACAAGCATACCAACTATACCATGGAGGTATGATCCTTGGGAGGAAAAGCTGGGGCTGGTGTTGGTCTCCCTTAACCTTAAAACTTGGAAACAGAACCAGCTTTAATCCTTAGGAACAGTCTTCTTGGTCATCATTGGTGCATATGTTTTTCTAATCTCCTTCCTTTTCCAGCAGTTTCTTTCCAATATAGAATAGCAGTAGGATACATTTGCTATATTGGGAATGTCTAAACCAAAGCGTGTGTGTGTGTGTGTGTGTAAAACATTTATAGGTTTATACATTATCTCTTTAGTTGGAAAGGAGAGAAATCTACAGGGCCCTAACTCCCAAGACCATTGTTTTGTTTTGTAAATTTTTTTTTGGTAGTGAGAAAAGGGAGATTTGGGGTGATGTGTGAGAGACAAATTATTCATTTTAGTAACCTGCTACCCTCTCCCCAAGGTCTGTTTGTTAGTATATTTCTGACTCTACTCATCTCCATCATTGGTTATCCTCCCAGCTCCCTCAGTTCTTGTTTCTTTTACTTGCTTAGATTATGTCACTATTAGTGTCATTACCGTGCTCCCTGTTTAGGAGTATTTCTGCCTTAGAATATGTTGCTCCAAAGGATCCTCACTGGTGAGGTGATAAAATCAGTGTGAAATGCACAGATAGGTTTTTGGGCTTTTGCTGAAGGAGAAAGCCAAGGATTTGGGTGGTTTCACTCTGATAACAGCCACGTTGATCCCCCAGCACATCCGAGTGGGCTGGGAACAGCTCCTCACCACCATTGCCAGAACCATCAATGAAGTGGAGAACCAGATCCTTACTCGAGATGCCAAAGGGATCAGCCAGGAGCAGATGAATGAGTTCCGAGCCTCCTTCAACCACTTTGACCGGGTAAGAGTTTGGCTTATTGAGCTTTTCCTCTTGCTCCCCTTCACTGAAATACATCCTCAAAATGACCTCATGGATATGAGAAATCTCCCCAGGATAGGATCCTTCCTTCTCAGAGCTTTACCAGGACCTAGAGATAGCTCAGAACACAGGTCTTTCTAATGGGGTACCCTGAACCTTTGACTCTGTTTAGTCAATATTATGGCCAGTGCTCTGATTGAAGGAATAGGTGGATGGCATGCTCAACAGACTTGGGGCTGACGTGAAGCTAGGAGGGATAATTAAGTTATTTTTGTTTGGTTTAGACCTATTATATCATTGGAGTAGGAAACTCCTCTGCCCAAAGCAGATCACAGCAGTTGATCTGTGACTTAAGTCTTAGAATTACCTGGAGCCCTGAGTGTCTCTGATTAACTAACTTGGCTGGGGTTACATAGCCAGTACATGTCAGACCTGAGATTTGAACCCAAATTTTCTTGATTCTCAGACTAGCTTCTCTGTTCACTATTCCGTGCTGCCTAAAATGTTGAATTATAGAATCAGAATCAAAGATCTTGAAAGTCTAGGACAGTGAGCAGTCTAATTAGATGAAATTTAGCAGAATTAGTACTTTGCTTGGACAGCTAGGTGACAGAGTGCTGGGCCTAGAGTCAGGAAGATGTCAGTTCAGATCCATCCTCAAGACACTTACTAGCTATATGACCCTGGGCAAGTCACTTAACCTTGTTTGTCTTATTCCACTAGAGAAAGAAATGGCAAAGCACTCCAATATCTGCTAAGAAAACCCCATGGACTGTATAGTCCATGGGGTCACCCTAAGTGACCGAACACTAAGTACTGCATTTGTGTTGAAAAAGATTAACTGTGCAAGTGGCTAGGGAACAGGCATGGCTAGACAATGTTTGGAAAAGATCTGGGAGTTCTGGTTGACTGAAAGTTCAACATGAGTCAATAATAAGATGTCATGGCCCCAAATCCTAATACACATAATAGCACACATTAGTAGAAGCAAAAGAGATCACAATCCCACTGTACTTCCCCACAGTTAGACCATAGCTGGCGTATTGTGCTGTCTTCTGGGTATGACATTTAAGTAAAGGCTTTAATAAGCTGTGCCATTTCTAAAGGAGGGAAATCAGAATGGTGAGGTCATCTAAACCATGTCATGAGGATGACTTAAAGCAACGGGGAAGATTTAAAGGGCAGCTCTCTGGAAATAGGGTCGCATTTATTTCACGGGACTTAGGGCTAGAATGGACCTTACCTTGTCCAACCCCTTCATTTCACAAATGAGAAAATTGAGACCCAGAGAGATTAAGTGACTTAAAGTCACACTGCTAATAAATAGTAGGACCAGGATTTGGGCAGTAGTTTTGAGATACCAATGCTTTTTCCACTATATCTCATCATACTTTGCCTCTTCTCAGAGGAGAGACATAGCAGAAATTGTTAGAACTTTATAAGAAGCAGATTTCACCTTGATTTTTAAGACAAACTTCCTTGCAATTTTAGCTGTACAAAAGTGAAATGGATTACCTCAGAAATTGAGGGAATTCTGCATTACCAGAGGTCTCTAAGCAGAGTATGAATGGTCATTTCTCAGGGATTTTGTATAGGGAATTCTAGATCAACAGCGGGCTGAACTCATTGGCTTCTGAAATCCCTTCTGTCTCAGAATCTGTGTTCCATGGGAAGAGCTGAGGCCTTTCTCTCTGAGCCCATCATGTCAACTAATTTCACAGATCCATAAAAATGGCTCTATAGCCCTTGACACACCAGCAGTCGAAAGGGATCTGATACATCCTAACAACCTGTCTTGCAGAACTTGTGGGCCTACCACACTGGAGTACCCAATGCCTAGCCTGGTGAGCGGGGCAGAGTTGAGTAGCCTCTGAAAGTCAAGGTGCTATAAGTACCCTCCTGTGTCTGGAATGCACTCTTTCCTTATCTCCACCTTATTGAGTTCCTAGCTTCCTTTAAAGCCCAGCTCAGTTATCACCCCCTACATGACGCAATTCTTGATGTGTCCATGCCTAGTTGTTAGGAGTCCCTTCCTCTTGAAATTATCTGATATTTACTTGTCTCCTCCTCCTCCCTACCCTGTAGATAATAAAAATAATAGCTAATATTTATGTAGTGCTTACTATGTGCCAGGCACTGTGCTAAGCACTTTACAATTATTATCTCATTTGATCCTTACAACAACCCTGGGAGGTAGGTGCTATTATTATTCCCATTTTACAGATGAGGGAAGTGAGGCAAATGTGGTTAAATGACTTGGCCAGGCTCCATAGGCCAAATCTGAACTCAGATCGTTCTGATTCCAAGCCCAGCACCATGCAAGTGTCTTGAAGGCAGAGACTGTTTAATTTTTTTTTCTTTGTCTATTATCAGTGCTGACCATAATAGGTGTCTAATGTTTGTTGAATGGAAAGCGTCACGGGCTTAGGAAAAAAAAGCCCAAAACAAACCAAAAAAACCTGAGTTTGGGTCCCAGCAGTGTCACTTCCTGGCTGTTTAACATTGTTCCAAGCACCTTAGCCTTCTCTAGGCCTCAATTTTCTCACCTATAAAATGGGGTGGAGTGAGGGGAGGGTGTTAGATCAGAACGAGATTCTGACGCTAGCAACAACATTCTTTGATGTCCAGTCATAAAATCCTAAGGGTTTGGTGTCCATCCCCTACCTGTAGCTGGGCCTCTGCTTAAATTCCCTCAGGCAGCTAGCTGGCTGCTTTTTCTTGCCTTAAGTGTCCCTTCACCAGGCCCATGCTGAAGGACAGCTCACAAATTAACACTTGCTCTCTTCCTTCGCGGCTTTCCTGCCAGAATCACTTAACTGTAGGAGTCGTCGTTTTTGGCCTTGAATGAAAGCTAGACAGTCATTCTGGTGGTCGCTCCACCACCACCCCTACTTCTACCTCAGCCCTCCATGAGGTGATCCAGCTATTCGTGGGCATCTCCTCTAGTTTTGAATTTGAATTTGAACTCTGATCACTGGCCCTCATTTACGCCAAGAGCCCTCCAGTGTGAGTACTAGGAAGTAGAAGTGGAGGTGGAGTCAGAACCCCGCCTTTCCTCACGCAGGCTAACCCATGTGAATTGTATTGAACAGATGGGCTCTTAATATAGGCCACCCTATGGTAGTGTCTGTCAATATGGTCCTAAGGGTGGGCCGACTGGCCCTTTGAGGATTGGGTGGGAAGGGTGGGTTAATTAGGCTGCTGCCTCTCCACGCCTCTGCCTGCTTCATGGCACGCCAGATAATCTCAGGAGCCTTTAGTGGAGCTCCCTGCAGACTTGAGTGTGTCTGTGGGAGGGGGTGGGGAGGAAGGAACGGGAGGAGGGAAGGGTTGATTTGGGAGGCTCCTGTTTTGGTCCTGTTGTCTGGAGCAAGGTTGTATGTGAGCACATACTGAAACCTCATTTTGGTATCTAACCTTATGCACTTTTATTTCCCCTTTCTCCCTTCTCCCCTCACCCTTCTCACCCCTTTCCATCTGCATGATCATGTCCACATCTCTCTCTCCATCTCTTCTCCTCACTTCCCACCGCCCACTTGCTTGCTTTCCCTCCCTCCCTGCATGGCACACACCATCCGCCTCCTCATTCGCCATCCCTGTGCATTTTGTCCCTCCCCCCACTCCCCTCCTGTGGCACCCACTGCATGTCCTGCTGCCTGGCACACCACGGCCGCCCCCAGGATCACTCCGGCACACTCGGTCCTGAGGAGTTCAAAGCCTGCCTCATCAGCTTGGGTTACGATATTGGCAACGACCCCCAGGTACTCAACACCTGCATGGAACGTGGTCAGGGGTGGCGTCTGGGGTGATCAATAACATGTTTCTCCTTTTTCTTTTCTCTCTCTGTCTGCATCTCTCCCCTTCCCCTACCTTCCTGTGTTCCTCTGGACGTGTGCCTTTCCTTTCTGTTGACTTTTCTGACTGTGGATACCTCTCCTTCTGAGGGGGATCCTTCCTGCATCCATCTCTACCTCGGACTCCCTTCCCCGACTGCTTTTCTCGGGAATCTCACTTTCTTCTCTTTCCCATTATCTCTGCTGGCCTCTGCCTATCTCTTGTTCTTTGCAATGCATTCCACTCTTAATTTGTATTTCTCTTCTTTCCTCTTTCATTTTTATCTCTCTCCTCTGCCCCACCATCCAATAAACCCTGTCCCTTCATTGTCCGTGTCCTGCCTCTTGGTGAACTGGTGTGGGCCCTTTCCTCTTCCCATCTTTCCTGCCCTCCCTTTGTCTAAATGTCACTGCCTTCGTGCAGAAGAAGACAGGCATGATGGACACAGACGATTTCCGCGCCTGCCTTATCTCCATGGGTTACAATATGGTAACGTAAAGCGGATGCCCCCTTCTCATTCCTGAGGGTTGGTATGGCCTCCCGTGGCCACATGCCCTCACTCCTGCCCTGTGTGAGGGGTGGGGTCTGTGAACCCAACCAGTGAGGTGAGGTCAAAGTAGAAGGGTTTTCTCTGGGTCTAGGTGATCACTAAAAATCAGAGGGGGTGCGAGGGGTGGAGTGGATAAATACAGAGAGCAGCTGTTATTTTCTTCACGGACCTGGTCAGTTCAGCCAGGATGTTCCTCTTTAGCCCCTTGGGAATAAACTTGGGGGGATGGGTCACAAGAGGTTTCCTCCTATCAGCTTGCTTTCTTTGGGCACAGGTAATGCTAGGGCTGGAGAAGGAATGGAGTGATATCGGGGAGGGTGGGTAAGGTGGGTATGTCAGGATATCTCTTCTCAACTAGCTGGGTGACCTGACACCATATGCTGCCAGTCTTGATGTTTTATTATGCCTGGCTGTATTAGAAGAGGCTTTTGCTCGTTGTTCTCACAAACATTGCCTTCTCCCCTGGAACATCCGGCAGGCACAATCTGGGAGCTATGAATAGTCCTATCTTTCATATTGATCTGAACTTTGGGGCAATATGCTTCTTTGTTTCTGCCCTGTTCTCAGGCAAGGCAGGAAACCTTGACATCTGTTTCAGTCATCACTCTAAATTGGCTTGAGTTTGGAGTCTTTTTGCCAGCGCGTCTTCTTCCCTTTTCTTATTCTTACCTCATTTCGGCATCCAGTGCTGAGTGGCAAGCGAGGGGTATAAAGTTTTCTGTCTGTGGAAGCTTTTTCTTTAATGAATTGTTAATCCTGGCTCAGAGGATAATGTGCTGAGCCAAAGAACCCTCTAAGGAAAAAGAGTCTAAGTGTCCAAATCAAGGTGGACTAAGGGCCCTAAAATTAGGACATACCTATGAACTGGGCCCCCAAGTCAACTTAGGTTTTGTTGGGGAAATTTCTGTAATCCCTTTGTAATCTCTCCTCCCCATGAAGTAGGGGCAGCACTAATCCGTCCATCCTTAGACACTGACTGAGCCCCTGTAGGGCTAGATATTTCAAATAGAGTCCAGCCTATAGGGCTGATGCAGGTGCTGTCTTTTGCCATTCAGGGAGAAGCAGAGTTCGCCCGAATCATGAGCATTGTAGACCCTAACCGCATTGGCGTAGTGACATTCCAGGCCTTCATCGATTTCATGTCCCGTGAGACAGCCGATACAGACACAGCTGACCAAGTCATGGCTTCCTTCAAGATCCTGGCTGGGGACAAGGTAAGTTTACTGTGTAATCATAGCTTTGTTAGGGGCTCTGGTCTCTCACATAAGAGTCAGGTAAAGAAATGCAGATCAAGATTCTCCAGAGACAGATCCATAGCCTTGAGTACCTCTGTCATTGATGCTGTTTTCCTTATTCTCCTCCTTTTCCTCCTCCATCACAGTCATTAGAAAGGAAAAAAAAATCAGTGTTACAAGTCGTGTTGGAATTGCATTCTATTCTGTTCTTCCTTCAGAAGATTATAAACATTTTAGAGAACAATCTGACTCTATTTAAGAAGGGTGACTTTTGAGCCAGCAATTTCATGAGTAGGCTTCTATCCCAAAGGCATCATAGAAAGGGAACAAGGACCTATAGAAGGGTGGCATGGTGTAATGGATGGCATGTCAGACCTGGAGACAGGAAGGACCTGAGTTTAAATCTAGCCTCTGATATATAGAGCCAGATGACTATTGGCAGTCGCGTTAAGTTCTACCAGCCTCAGTTTCCTCATCTGTAAAATGAGGGGTTTGGACTTGATAACCTCCAAGAGATGGAAACCTCTTTAAAGCTGTGGTCCTATAACTTGTGTGAAGAAAGTGCCATTTGTAATAGCAAAAAATCAGAAACAATGTATATCTCCCAACAATTCAAAAATGACTGAATAAATTATAGCACACCACCATAATGAAATATTGCAGTGCTATAAAAATAACAAATGTGAAATGTAGGAAAACTTCTGTGGGGCAATGCTGAGTGAAATCAGCAGTACTAGATATGGAGCCACGTAACTTTTTTTTAAAGAAAGGAAGGAAAAGTGGGTCAAATTTGGTAGAGTCTTAAACAGGATTAGAAGAGGACTCAGTTCACCAGATATGGTAGCACACACCCGAAATCCCTGCTGCTAGAAAGGCTAAGGCTGGTGGATTGATTGAGTTTGGGAAGTTCTAAGCCGCAGTTAAGGTAGAAACCAGTCAGATGTCTGTCCTAAGTCTGGCACCAATATATAAGCCCTCTGGGAATGTTGTGAGGGCAGGGTCAAACTGGCCCAGGTTAGAAAAGTTGTAGATCAAAGCTACCTTGCTAATCAGTAGTGGGATTGAGCTACTGAAGTGGCCAGTGCATTTCTAGGCTGAGCGAGATAAGGAGACCCAGTCTCAAAAAAAAAGATAGTGGAGAGGCAAAGAAGGGACCAGGACAAGAGTGTATTATTTGCTGGTTTGATATTCTTTTGATTTATTCATTAAAAACTAGGGGGTCCCTTGATTTGTGTGTTTGTGGGGAGTTATTGAGCACTTTTTTCTCCCCCCAAGAGTGAAGAGAGAGGAAAGCTTTCAATTTGGGCTTGATGGAGTAGGGTAGGGGGTGATCCATTAGCTGATTTGTGAAGGAAAAAGCTTCTTTGGCATGCTAACTTTTCTTTTAAATTTGGATCTCTTCTGCTATGCCATGTCTCATATAAGACCAGTAAACTAAATTAGAGTATTTTTGGTGTCACTCATGTCCGTAATTACTCTATACCTCTGCTCTATGGAGGCTAAAGTATGAACTGAAAATGGCGGCAATTTTTATCTTTCCTAGGAAGTGTTCACATTAATAATAATAATTTTTAAAAACCCTCTTAATTTGGAAAGTTCTAAAGGAAGTGAATCTCTGGTGGTGGTATCTCATTCACAGTTGATATTTTAGGGTCAAGATAGTCTTCCTGCCGTTCTCAAAACCGCATCATAGAGAGGACCACTTCTATGGTAGCCATAGGGTCCATTTCAGGATCAGGGAATATTGGTTGAATTCTTGAAAGAGGCATATCTCCCCCATTTCTGCATATCTCCGCCATTTCCCTGTGCTCTTTAGAAGAGTAGTTAACTTGAGGATTTTTTTAAATATTATAAGCAATTTAAAAAAATGAAATAAACAGAATTATGCCTAAATCATTTGCAAAACCATGAAGTCCAAATCATTTCCATTGTTGACAAGAGGCAATGCACGAATATATATGCACAAATAAACTTTTAAGAAGATAACAGCGACTTCTCATTTGCTGTCTTTATTTCTAATCTCTTCTTGGCCTACATGTATGTTTTGTCTCTGCTTTGGTGTTCCAAACCTTATGAGTCTTGGCAGTATGCAGCTTTATCTTTCTAATAGGAGCTACCTACCATAGTGAGACGCTTGCCTAGGAGTCCCTGCCTCTCTTCCCGCCTGCATTCTGTCCCACCCCCTAAGTACCCTTCTCCCTCCCATCATATTTCCTGTTAGCGATCTCTAAGTCAGTTGACCCAGCACTAGACCAAAAAACTGTGCCCTGTAACTAACCCCTTTCCATGATATCCATTCACAAAACCAACCAGCCTAATCTTGTCGAGGCCTATTCCAGTGGAATGTGTTCTTGAGACACACCTTTGGCAATCTAGCCTCTGGGACTTTTAAAACTTATATTTCCTCCATGATTCAGTGATAGTTTTTCAGGAGCTTTTCCTATTGTTCTTTTCAAGGCTATTTGCCCCTCCCCATTCTTACATGGTTTTACTGACTTTGGTCCTATTCGTTCTCAGCCTTCATCCTCCTCCGATGAAAGATTCTAATCTTTTTAATTCTGTGAAGGGAGTCACAGGGAAAGGATTATTCTTTCCATTTTGCGGAAGGCACTGAATCACCCTGTTCCCTCTGAATGCTTCCACGGACACCCCTGTGCTATTTTGACATTGTTGGCGGAAAACCTGGGACTTCAGTGACACCCAAAACACATTAGTTACCCACCCAGCCACTAGTGTCCTGTTTGGATTCCTGGCCTTACAATGGAAGGAGATGTCAAAGGAAGATAATAGATGGAGACCAACAGCAGAACAGAGAAATTCCTGGTCCTCTGACCGCAGAAGGTGGTTAATGGGCTGGACCAGGATCAGAGAATGCAAGGGTATAGAGAGGAATATGGGCGATAGAGAGGAATATGGGCTGAACTGAGGTCAGAGGCAAGAGCCAGGATCCTCCCCCAAAGGAAATGTTAGAAGCAGCCATCTCATTTTACAGATTAGGAAGCAGTGGATTTACCGAAGGTCATAATACTTTGTGGCAGACAGAAACTAGGAAGAATTTGGGCTCAGATTTTTAGCCTTAATCTTTCCACTATTGAGTTATTTCAGTCATGTCTGACTCTTTGTGACTCCATTTCAGGTTTTCTTGGTGTGGTTTGCCATTTCCTTTTTCAGCTTATTTTACAGATGAGGAGCTGAGGCAAACAGAGTGAAGTGACTTGCCCAGGGTCACACAGCTAGTGAGTGTCTGAGGCCAGATTTGAACTCAGGAAGATGAGTCTTCCTGGCTCCAGGCCTGACACTATCCACTGCCACAGCTATTGGCACGCTACCTAGTCTTATTCTATCCTTGATCATAATGTGCCGCCCTGCCCTTCCACGTGCCACTCCTTGGTGGTGCTGTCAGGTACAGAACATTGTATTTGAACCGTGGATCTTTCTCGTGTTCCCATGTACGATAGGGAGTATTCAGTTTGTTTAGACCACTTGCATAAGATATTGTAGCAACACTTATAAGCCGTTATTTTTTAGAAAAGGGGTTGGTGACTTTTTAAAAATGGCACGCCAAGGTTAGTCGACTGTATTCTTCCATCATGTTGTTGACGAGCCAATGGGGAAGGACTTTTATGAGCAACAGGGAGGGCCATAGTGGTGGTGAATAGGCCTCATGCATTCCTCAGCGATCATAATGTCAGTAGCTGATCTCTACTCTAGATGTTGCCTGTTACTAAATTTCTTTGTTGTCTTTGCAGAATTATATCACCTTGGATGAACTACGCCGGGAACTCCCACCTGACCAAGCAGAATACTGCATTGCACGGATGGCCCCCTACACAGGCCCAGATGCAGTGCCTGGTGCTCTGGACTACATGTCCTTCTCCACAGCCCTCTATGGCGAAAGTGACCTTTAACCTACTCCTAGACCCCCTCCCACACAAACCCCCTTCTTTTATTACCATACAAACTCCCAGACTCTACCAGGGTTCTTCTTCCTGTCCAGATGCACCTTTCTTTCTGTATGCAATGCAAGCCCCCCCACCTCTGCCTCCTTTGTTGGACTGTCCTCCACTTCCTCCTTTCCTCTCCCTTCCCCTCTAAACCCTGAAGTTTGGTGTCAACTCACAGGTTCCCATCATCTTCAGGGATGGGACAGACATTATATTGAATCTTCCCACCCTCTGAAAGTGGTAACAGTTTACAAAATTATTTTCTGCAAAAAAGAAAAAAAATGTTTAAAAAAAAAACAAACCAAAAAACCCACATATTTTATTATAGAAAATAAAGGTATTTTTTCTCCACCTGACTGAAATGGATAAGGGGAAAATAGAACTATTTGCACCACGTATTTTGTTTGTTGTGACATAGGAAAATAAGCAAGCACAATGCGACATTCCATCCTTATTTTTAAAAAATATACTTTTTTTTTAAAGAATTTATCTGTTCCATCTTTTATGTCCATTCCTCCAGTCCCACATCTTTCAGTGAGGGGAGGAAATTCTGTCAAAAGACACACCAGGTGCATGCATGTTTGCTTGCTCACTCGTTTCATGGAAATATTTTATGATATTAAAAAAAACAAACTTCAGAGATAGCTGTTTTTTAGGAAGACAAATAATTTACATCGCTTGTTTTTTCATATTTAATTCCAGAGATATGATGATCAGTCTTCTCAGTGCACAAAATGTTTTTTTTTGTTTTGTTTTGTTTTAATTATTTTAAAGTTGTCTATTAAAAAAAAAAGGTCAGGACAAACTTGGAAAGAGTGGATGACTTTGATATTGCTTGTCACAAACCATATTAAAAACAAAGCAGCATTCTTGTGATAACTCTTTGCTGTGTCTTATCTTTCTGCTGTTGGGAAATTTCGTGGGACCTCAGGGAGGTGTGTGGTACCTGTCTCCATATTGTTTTCTTTGACCATTGAAGTTATAGTCCAAAGTCCTTAGCTTTGCATATAACGCTTGTTGTGTGACCCTGCACAAGCCTCCTGATTTCCTAGGGCCTCATTTTCCTCATGTATAAATGGAGCTGGGGAACTGTATAGAGGTTCACTATGCCTGTAGCATACGTATATTAGCTGTGTCACCAAAGGCAAAGCACTTAACTGCTCAGCGTCTCGCGCAGCTCTCTAAGCCTACCACCTGAACTGGTTGAGGGAATGGCCACGATCACAATTTTGTACACTGATGAACTCATAGGTCTAAACCCCACTGCCCAAAATGAGGATTATATCTGCCCTACTTATATCACAAAATTAAATGGAAGAATGGTTATGCTTTGGGAAAAGTTAAGAACAGTATAGTTTAAAGGTGCTCATTACTCATAGGCTCCGATTTCATTTCTTGTGATGCAGAGGTGTGCAGCACCTATCCCCATCTCTTTCCCCAGATGGATGAATGGACCTCAACTTTACTGGTTGTTTTTTTCTCATGATTCAACCAACTCATGTACTCATTCATTTAGAACTGTGTTATGTGAAACTTACCCTTAAGGGAGTTTTGAGAGGCTGTGGAAGAAATGGGCTTAGCAACTGAAAGATAAATCATGCTTCACAGTACAGGAGAACTTTTGGTCTAAAAGGGTTTTTATGTTTTCGGGATTTTGTCATGTAAGGAATCACAATGTGCCTGGGATAGAGACCAAATGACCCCTTATTAAAAGGAGGTAAATGAAAATGGAGTATAAATTCACTTGGGCAGCTAGGTGGCACAGTGGGATAGAGCTCTGGGCCTAGAGTCAGGAAGACTCATCTTGTGAGTTCAAATCCAGCCTCAAACACTTAAACAAGCTGTGTGACTCTGGGTAAGTCATTTAACCCTGTTTGCCTCAGCTTCCTCGTCTGTAAAATGAGCTAGATAAGCAAATGGCAAGCCATTCCAGCATCTTTGTCAAGAAAACCCCAAATAGAGCCACAAACAATTGAAAAACACAACAAAATTCATTTCCTGGCCTGATGCCATGTATCTGGACCAAGAATATTCAAATTATCAACCCCTTATGGCTTATCACCTGCTGTGAAATCCCTGGCTGCTTCCAGTGAAAATAAGTGTTGTGGGCCTCAATTTCATCATTTGAAAATTAGTGCAATTAAAATCTTATTTTTCCTTCCTTCCTTGATGTACTTCCTTTTATCCAAGGAAAAATTTTCTCCCTGATAGCAGGGAGTAAAGATTCATGTTTTTAGGCCTCTCAACCTGTGTCTTGACAGGTCCGTCACTTGGCACTAGAAGAAACACCGTACTTTCTGAAGGTCATTGCCAGTTTCTTCTTGCCCTTTCATAACTTTTTGGAATTGAGATCCTGAGTACTTTGTTCTGACAGGGAGTTACCGGGGCAAGCTGTCCCTTAGTGCAGGAAGCAGCACAGCAAGACCGGTTAATTGTTCTTTTCAGCCACTTTTGGTGGTCAGCAGATTTCTGCTAAGCCTTGATATAAATAGAAGCTGGTATCCCAATTACTAGCAAGCCTGAAACTAATTAAATAATTTCTGTCCCCTTTCCCTTCTTTGCCTCAGTGGCTACAAAGTTCTGTGTTTGACTTGGAATCTGGAGGTGTGAATTCAAATCCTGTCTCTGACTTCCTTGTTCTAACTGTGACCATCAACTAGTCATTTTTGCTTTCTTGAGACCCAGTTTCCTTATCTATGAAATGCAGGATAATGCTTATGGTCCCTGTACCCTACAAATTGATAAGAAAAATGCTTTAGCAGTATAGAATTATATTTAATATTATGTTTTACATTATGTAATAATCGTATATATCCTATAAAGTATACTAATACTTTGTATGATATAATGTCATGTTACATAATTCTAATTACATAATTAACTCCCTAGAATATTATTCTTAAGTATGGTATGAAAGGGAAGGGGGAAAGCGCCTACTATGTGCCAGGAACTGTGCTAAGTGCTTTACAAATAGTACCTTGGAAAGCAGGTGCTATTATCCCCATTTTACAGTTGAGGAAACAGGCGAACACAGGTTATGTGACTTTGTGAGGGTCACACAGCTAATAAATTTCTAAGGCCAGGTTTGAGCTCAGGTTTTCCTATTTCCAGGCCTAGTGCTGTATCCATTGTGCCATCTAGATATCCACCCAGTCAAGACAACACTGTGTGTATCTTATAGCAAGAGGTCTTCAGTGGAATGCTCCAGGTACACTGCCCTGTGTTGTTAACATTTTTTTTTAGTGACTTGGATAAAGGTATAGATGCTATGCTCATGAAATTTACAGATGATAAAGTGAGGGGGAATAGCTAACACATTCAATTATGGGATCTAAAAAATAGTAATATAAAATCCAATAAGCATAAATATAAAATCTTGCATTTGGATAAAAAAAAAGCAACTTCACAAGTAGTATAAAATGAGGGGTAGAAGTTCTGAGACAAGCTGGAGGTTTTAGTGAATTGCAAGCTCCAGTCAGCAAAAATAATGTGATTCCTGAGCTTCTGTAAGGGGAGGGGGGCTCAGCGTCCCGCAATAGTGCAGCGATGTCATGGGCCACTGTAAGCTGCCCTCATCAGACCTGATCTAGAGGACTATTCAGTTGTGAGGACTGTAGAAGGGCATTGATAAGCAGGAGGGAGTTCACAAGCCAGGATGTTGAAAGGCATTGAGCCCATGTCCTAGGAGGATCGTTGACAGAAGACAGAATAAGCTGTCTTCAATATTTGCTCTGTTGGCTCTAAAAGGCAGAGAGAGCTGCCTGGAAGTGGAAGGGATGACCTCCCGATGTAGTGGTTTCCCCCTCCTTGGAGGTCTTCCAGGGGAGGTTGAGTGACCACTCATTAGACATGTGATAGCAGGATTCCTTCTTTGTATTGGTTAGACTAGGTGGCTGCTTGGGTCCCTTCCAACTCTCAAGTTCTGTTCAAAAGCCTAGTTGTGTTATATTTAAATGTATTTCTTAAAAATTCATTTTTTAAAAAAATTCATTTTAAATTCATTTAAAAAACTTAACTATGTAGAATCCTACATTAATCTATTCTGTTATTCACACCTGTAGGAAGCTTAGCTGTTCACAACATGATGGGCGTATTAAGGCAGGACTAAAATTCACATGGTGGCAGCTGCCCATATTTCTGGCTTCTGAAGGATTAGCATGATAATCCCAAAGATCAGATTTTCTGATCACATCCTGGATTCTATGCTTTGTACAGCAGGGCCGGTTAGAGAAGGGGGAGGATTTACAGTTAATAACAGCTGACATTTATATGGTGTTTTGCGTCATTACACTTGATCCTCACAATAACACTGTGAGGTAGAAGCTCTTCTCATTTTATAGATCATAAATTACAGTATCATAAATTTAGAGTGGGAAGGGAATTTATTGTTCACTTGTTTTTCTGTCCCGTCTGACTCTTAATGACCTCGTGTGGGGTCACAAAGAGTTGGACATGCCTGTAAAACCCATTGGGGGTTTTCTTGGCCAAAGATGCTAGAGTGGTTTGCTATTTCCTTCTCCAGCTCATTTCACAGACAAGGAAGCTGAGGCAAACGGGGTTAAGTGACTTGCTAATAAGTGTCTGAAGCTGGATTTGAACTCAGGTGCTCCTGACTCCAAGCCTGGCGCTCTAGTCACTTTGCCACCTAGCTGCTGGAAGTACAGTAATTGAGTCAACCAGCATTTGGCAAGCGCTCACGTATTCCAAGGCACTGTGCTAAGCACTGGGGATACAAAGAGGTACAAAAACACTGGTCCCTGCCCTGCCTTCTAGGAGGTCACATTCAAATGGAGGAAGCCACATGCAAATGTGCAGGTAAATTGGAGATATGAAAGAGTTGCAGAAAGTGGGGCTTGAGCTGAGTTTTCGAGATAAGACAGGGAAGCTAGGAGGTGAAGATGCAGAGGGAGAATATTTCAGGCACCAGGGATAGCCAGAGAGAAAGCAGAGACAAGAGATGGAGGTGATGGTAGTGGGGTGTGTGTGCGTGTGTGTGTGTGTGTGTGTGTGTGTGTGTGTGTGTAACAGCAAGAAGGCCAGTGGCACTGCAGAGCAAATGGAGGGCAGCAAAGTATAAAAAGACTGGAAAAGTAGGAAGGGATAAGTTAAAGGATTTTACCTGTCTTGCTTCTCAGTCTCCTTTGTTGGATCTTCCAACTTAACGTGAATCTCTTCCAAGTGTATTCTGGGTCCTTTCTCTTCTCTTTTTACTCTATCACATTCGGTGATTTCATGAGCTCCCATGTTGTCATCTCTATGCAAAAAAATTCTCAGATCCCTGACCTCTCTCTTCATTACCAACAGCCTTTCGGACATTTTGAAATCCCATAGGTATCTCAAACTCAACGTGTCCATAACAGAACTTACTATCTTTCCCCCAACTCTCCTGTTGCTGTTGAGGGCACCTCCATCCCCCAGGCTCAAAATCTTGGTGTCATCCTTGACTCCTCACGTGCACTCATCCCACATATCCAATCTGTTGCCAAGTCTTGCCATTTTTGCACTCACATTTGTCATGAAGGTCCCCTTCTCTTCACTCAGCCACCACTCTACTGTGGGCCCTGATCACTTCATATTCAGACTATTGCAATAGTCTGCTTGCTTCAAAGCCCTCCCCATTCAAATCAATTATCCGCTCAGCTTCCAAAGTGATCTTCCTAAATTGAAAGGTCTGACCCAACTCCAATGGCTCCCTATTGCCTCATTTTCCATCCAAAGAAACTGAGGACTAGAGATGGTCATACAGGTAGTAAGTGGCAAAGCTAGGATTTAAAACCAGGTTTCCAGCCTCCAAATTGAACACTACTTCCATTGCTATGATGAAGAAATTGGGGCTTAATGAGGCTGTGAATTGCCCAGGGTTACGCACTAATAAATGT